GGGATCCCTGGGTGGCGCAGCGGTTTGGCGCCTGCCTTTGGCCCAGGGCGCGATCCTGGAGACCCGGGATCGAATCCCACATCGGGCTCCCGGTGCATGGAGCCTGCTTCTCTCTCTGCCTCTCTCTCTCTCTCTCTCTCTCTCTCTCTCTCTCTCTCTCTCTATCATAAATAAATAAAAATTAAAAAAAGAGAACACATAAATAGCAACACTGAAAAAATGCTGAATCTCACAAAAAAGAGGCAAACATTTCACAATGAAATACCATTTTCTACTCATGAATTTGGCAAAAAATTTAAAATAAAAAAGCTGACACTGCCAAGCATTGCTGAGGATGTGGAGCAAGTGGGACTCCTGTTACTGAGGGGCATATGAAAAAGTGCAATCCTGGGGATCCCTGGGTGGCTCAGCAGTTTAGCACCTGCATTTGGCCCAGGGCATGATCCTAGGGTCCCAGGATCGAGTCCTGGGATCGAGTTCCACGTCAGGCTCCCTGCATGGAGCTTGCCTCTCCCTCTGCCTGTGTCTCTGCCTCTCTCTTTCTCTCTCTCATGAATAAATAAAATCTTTAAAAAAAAGAAAAGGTGCAATCCTTTTGGAAACAAGGAGACATAACAGTTTTGGACATGAGTATTCATGAGCTATGGCCTGTCAGTACCGCTGAGGGCTAACCCCAGAGCCACCCTGTGTCTGTCCATAAGACCTATGTGAAAGTTCATAGCAACATCATCTATAGTGACTGGAAGCCTTTTGCTTACAATGCTCTTCCCCCAGATACCTGCACAGCTGGCCTTCTCCCTGCCTCTTCTGTCTTTGCTTTGCATGTTACTTTCTTAGTGGGCTTTCCTTGAGGCTCCAACTTAAAATCACAGCCACTTCCTCCAGCATTCTTTGCCTCTTCTCCCTATTTGGCCTTTAGCTGTTATCCCCATCTGATGCATTAGATATTTTACTTGGCCTTTAGCTATTATCCCCATCTGATGTATTAGATATTTTACTTATTTTTCTATTTGCATTCTCCTCTAGAATGTGAGCTCCATGAGGGCAGTGATTTTGTGATTTTTATTCACTACTTTCTTCCCCATTCCATGCATGGTAGGTTCTTTATTTTTTTTAAAGATTTACTTATAAGAGACAGAGAACATGAGTGAGTGGTGGGAGAGAAAGACAGAATCTCAAGCAGACTCCCTGCTAAGCCTGGAGCCTGATATGGGGCTCAGTCTCACAGGCCTAAGAGATCATGACCTGAGCTGAAATCAAGACTCAGATGCTTAACGTACTGAGCCACCCAGACACCCGCCCTGCATAGTAGGTTCTTTAATGAATATTTGCTGAAAGAACTAAGTGGCCAACAAAAGTAGATGGGATAAACAAGTTGTGGTATACTCATTTAGCAAGAAACTAGACAGAGTGAAAATAAATGATATAAAGCTTCACATTATCAGTAAATCTAGGGGCACCTAGATCTAACTGTCTCCCTTTGGCTCAGGTCATGATCCCAAGGTCCTGGATCAAGCTCTGCAGTATGCTCCCTGATCAGTGGGGAGCCTGCTTCTCCCTCTGCCTCTGTCTGCTGCTCTGCCTGCTTGTGCTCTCTGTCAAATAAATCTTTTTTAAAAATGATAAACCTTGCAATGACAAATATATGCAGCAAAATAATGCAAATTGCAGATAAAATCTTATATTGATACATTTATATGACTGCAAAACATGCGAAGTAAATGTTGTGTATTGATCTGGGATACACCTATAGAAACAGAGGATTCCACATCTCATTCAGTATAGTGGCTGTCTCTGAAAGGCCGTTTCTGTTGAAGGGAGGAACACAGGGGTTTCAGCCACATTGATAATGTTCTTTCTTTCCCCTGGAGCTTTGGAATGCTTTCACGGGGCTTCACTAAATTCCTTACAACTCTATTATGTTTTACTTTTTTTTCTTTTTTTTATAATTTTTTAAAATTATTTATTTATTTATTTATGATAGTCATGGAGAGAGAGAGAGGCAGAGACACAGGCACACACACACACACAGAGAGAGAGAGAGATAGGCAGAGACATAGGCAGAGGGAGAAGCAGGCTCCATGCACCGGGAGCCCGACGTGGGATCCGATCCCGGGTCTCCAGGATCGCGCCCTGGGCCAAAGGCAGGCGCTAAACCGCTGCGCCACCCAGGGATCCCCATTTTTTTTCTTTTTAAAGATCTTATTTATTTATTCATGAGAGACACAGAGAGAGAGGCAGAGACCCAGGCAGAGGGAGAAGCAGGCTCCTCGCAGGGAGCCTGATGTGGGACTCGATCCCGGATCCCGGGATCACGACCTGAACCAAAGGCAGGCACCCAACTGCTGAGCCACCCAGGCATCCCTTTACATATTTTTCTTAAAAGAAAAATGAGCAGACCTCTAAAATTAAATCTCTGGGACAAAAAAAAAATCAGGCTGAATGCTGAGCTGGTGGCAAAGGCAGCAAGGAAGAGCACTGTAGAAGGGGAAGCTTCTGTGGCCACCGACAGTGGACAGGCATGTTGACTTCCATGTAGAGGACCCAGGATCCCACAGAATATTGATCTTTAATGACTGGGCTCCTAGTTGGTGTAAATGAGTTAATACTAGTATTTGAGTATATAGATAACTTCAAATCCAACGTATTTGTACTATTTTTTTTTAAGATTTATTTATTCACGAGAGACACAGACTGAGAGAGAGGCAGAGACACAGGCAGAAGAAGCAGGCTCCTCACAGGGAGCCCGTTGTGGGACTCAATCCCACATCCCAGGATTATGAACTGAGCCGAAGGCAGGCACCCAACCACTGAGCCACCCAGGCGTCCCTGTACTAGTTATTTTACTATTGGTGACCCTATGACTCAGATTAAAGGTCTTATTTGTTCCAAGGAATGTGCCCTGGACTCCCTTTACCTTTCATTCTCAACATCTGGCTGTGAGAAAATGGAAACAGCTGGAGACCTTCAGATGGCATGGGGTGACCATTCTTTAGGCATCTCTGAGTAAAGGCATGCTCCTAGGAGAACCTAGATTCTCCTACTGCCCTCATCTCTTCCCATTCAGAAACCTGTGGCAGCTCAGAAATAGCTCAGACCCCCATGGTAGGGGCATGCATCCAAGATGGCTGTGCAGCCCAGTCTTTGCCTCCTTATAGCATGGACAGAACAGAATGTCACACAGCACACTAAGGTAAATGGAGTGGGAGAGGGCTTGAGTCAGAGGAAGCAGTATTCTCACATACCTGTAACCCATTCCCTACCCAACAAGGCCCTTGGTGAACAGCTCTGCCTTGCTTTGGGTATTACAGGCCGGACTGCAGCCCATGAAACAAAACCTTGAACCTTCTGTTGCCTCTACCTTTAAAATACTAACATCTGGGATGCCTAGGTGGCTAAGGGTTGAGCATCTACTTTTGGCTCAAGTCATGATCCCGGGGACCTGTGATGGAGTCCCACATCAGGCTCCCCGGCTTCTCCTTCTGCCTATGTCTCTTTCTCTGTGTCTCTCATGATTAAATTTAAAAATCTTAAAAAAAAAAATACTAACGTCCCAAACTGGACGCTGATTACCACCAGTCTGATCTAAGCTATCATTTCCCACTTTGATTACTAAATTGGTTTTAAGGGCCATTCTGCTCCCTCCCTCGCCTTTTTATGTTTTTTTTAAATTTATTTTATTTTATTTTTTAATTTTTATTTATTTATGATAGGCACACGAGAGAGAGAGAGAGGCAGAGACACAGGCAGAGGGAGAAGCAGGCTCCATGCACTGGCAGCCCGACGTGGGATTCGATCCCGGGTCTCCAGGATCGCGCCCTGGGCCAAAGGCAGGCGCCAAACCGCTGCGCCACACAGGGATCCGTCCCTCGCCTTTTTAGCTCATTTTTTACACATAAACCAAAGTGATCTTTTGGTGAGGCCAGAGCTCATTAGTGCTCTGCTCTGAACCGTGGGATGGCTCCCCATTTCACTCAGAATCAGAGCCATCACAGTGACCCTAAGGCTGTCTGAAATCTGGCCCCTAATTGCCTGACTACCGTGCTGTAACCCCAACTGAGCCGTCGAAACCACGGTAGACAAATCTACAGGCAAGATGGATCAGGAACAAGGAGGAAAAGGTGGGGAGCCAGGGAAGCTCGAGCTGAGGGACACCTCAAACTCAGCCGGGAAGGTTTCCAACAGAGTCCCAAAGCGCTGTCACTGGATTTGGGGATTCCAGATTCAGCTAGAGCTGGAGGCTGGGGTTGGTGACTCAGCGAGTGCGGAGCCTTTTCATCCTCCCTGTCCAGGCTCTTCAGGAGTGGGTTGAATGCCGGTTGCCAGGCAGAGATTTCGTTAACCGCGTTCTACGTTCTAGGCTTCAACGCCTCGCAATAAATGCTGACGCCAGATACGTCGCAACGTAGGTCGGCGGGTACTTAGGCTCCAATAAAGCTTCATCATCTAGATAGATTTGGGAACAATCCCTTGCATCCTAAACACTAAGGTTTCACGTGCGACAAGTTCCAAACCAGCCTCATCTGGAAAGGGGGATCAGAACAGCTACTTCCTCACAGTATTGTAAATGGTAAGTGAAAGGACAACCTTGGAAGCGTTCGGACCTGCGTCCCGGACGCAGAAAACGACTAGACTTCGTCAAGTTCGCATTGCTAAGCGCAGCTACTCTGAGCCCCCATTTCACAGACCGCACACTGAGGCTCGCGGGGCCGCGACCTACTCAGGCCTTTCCAAGTTGGGCAGCGGCGGCGGGGAGGGTGGTGTAGGCCCAGGACAGAACTGTCTGGCTCAGTGGGGACCGGGAAACTACTATACGCCCTGGCAAGACACTGACGCTGCGGAGGCCAACTCCAGGCGAACAGCTCCCGGTACCTGCCATGGCGGCGCTTCCGGACCAGCCGGAAGCTCACCGTCCAGAACTACAACTCCCAGCAACCTGCGCCGCACGTCCTGGTCGACGTCGGGGGAGCGCCGCCATTGTCCACTGCTGAGGTGAGGCGGTCGCTGAGGCTGTGGGGCCGCTGTTTCTGTCGCAGCGGAGGGATAGGAAGGACGGGAAAACGAGCTAGAAGACGCGACTCCGGCAATCCGGGCAGCGCCAGGGCGGATCCCGCGCCTGCCCTTTCCGCGCCGGCTTCGCGCTCCCGTTTCCGTTGGTTCTCCCGCCTCGGGGCTCGCGGCCGCGCTGGGCCGGCTGGGCGGACCCGAGGAGCCCTGGACGTCGGTCCTGGCGCGGGGTCGCGGCTGTCGGCCCCGTACGCTTTTGTCTTCCCCGCCGCGCGCGAGGATCCCAAGTGCCCCGCGGGCCGAACCTTGGAGCGGAACAAAAGCCGGACGCCCCCGGCCGAGCGAGCCCGAGCTTGCTAAGTCGCCTGCCGAGCGCGCACTGGCGGGGACCGGCTCACGGGTGGGAGGCTGGGAGCCACGAAACAGGTAAGGCCAGCGGCTCGCTGCTACGGGCTCCTGAGCATCACTCCTCCCCGGTGGTTGCAGATAAAATCGGACGGGAGGCCAGGCAGCAGGTGATGAGGACGCCTCTGAGGCTGTTAATGGGCATGCACACCTTTCTTTCCCCAGCGGGTGTTTCTCGTCCGCGCGGGTCCACCGGAGGCGCGGAAGGACGACGTGGAACGTGGGAGGGGAACAGCCCCCATTCCCTTCAGCTTGCAGTGACGGCGGATTTTGTTAAGTTGCAAACAGCGGTGCAGCGTAGTATGCCTGCTTTGAGCTTTGTCACAGATCCCGGTGTTCCTGGGGTCCAGTAGGCGTCCTGGTGCCTTATACACATTCCCAGGAAACCCAGAGCTCTGCCAGTTGGCCTTGGAACCCTCAGAGAGGTCTCGGGACTTGCACAAAGACTTGGAACCCAGGGAGTTTGTGGTCTGGGCTCTGAACCAGTAAACAGACAGGCTTGGGCCTGGTAGGTTTTGCAGATTGATTTCTGTTAGGTTTTTTAGTAACTAAATGGAAATAAGACCGCCAAGGCAAGCGAGGGTCCAAGAACAGATTTTATTGCAGGCACCCTCGGGCGAGGTTCCACGACTCACGGGGGAAAGAGAGTGAGTCGGGGAAGTCGCGCCAAGACAAGGTGGTAGGGGGTTTACATAACGTTGTAAGGCAGAACGGTTTCCTATTGGTTGGCTCATATGCAAAGGAAGGATTGCAATCCAACCAGTCAGAGTGACCCTCACTATGCAAAGGAAGGATTGCAGTTCGGCCAGTCAAAGGTGACTTCCTCCTCTGGGGTTTGAAGGGCATTGGGTTCGGTTGGGGAAGTCCAAAGGAGAGGTCTAAGGGTCTGCGTCAAGCTGTCAGCAGGTCATTGGTCCATTGGCGTCCCAAGTGGAGGTAGTGACAGGAACTTCAGCCATTTTGGGGTATCCGCCATCTTGAGGAGTTTCCCTTCCCGCCTGGCCCCAACAATTTCTTCTTTCCTTCCCTTCTTTTCCTCCCTCCCTTCCCTTTTAGGTAAAATTTGCATAACAAAAAATTAGCCGTTTTAGAGTACAACTTAGTGGTTTTGTTGTATATTTAGAGAGTTGTACAATAAAATATTATCTAATTCTAGAACATTTTCATCACCTCCCAAAAGAAATCTTTGCACCCATTAAGCGGTCACTCCTCATTCCTCCCTCCCTGCCGGCTCTAGGCAGCCACTGATTCATTGGGCGGTGCATGTAGATTTTACAGTAATTTTTGTAAATCACCAAAAAGTTACTTCGAAGTTGTCACTCGGTGTCTCTTGGGAGCCATTGACAAATTTCCACCCTCTAATCCTGGATTGTGCTCTTTTTTCAGCTTAACTCCCTTTTCATTCTGTTGTTTTTGACTTGTAAATTTTGTTTTCTTATAATGCTCCCTAGAAGTCTTCTGTTGTTTCTGTGGATAGGCTGCCTTTTTTGTTACTGGTTCTTCTTCAGAGAAAGGACCACTTTTGTGTTTTCTATTTTTGTCATTAGGTTGGTACTGCAATTGCATTCCGTGAATGAATCACCTGAATCAAGTGCACCTGGGAGGGCACCTGGTCCATTGATCCTGTGGGATGGCAGCCATCAACCCTTGGGCCTCCTGGGGTGAGTTCAAAATCTGTTTCTTCTGGGCCTCCTCTGCAGTGACCTGCTGCGGCCAGGGGTCAAAGTGGCACAGGGGCTGAGGGTTTTGAAGAATTGGAGGAGGGTCTCTTGATCTTGGTATAGAATTAGAACTGAGTGAGATTTAAAAAGAAGAAACAACTTGGTTTTTGGTGAAAAGGGAAACTTGGTGTAAAATGCCACATAATTTTTGTATATTTTATAGTCCTTTCCTAAGGTGTCTCATTAGTTCTAAGAGATTTTCTAATGATTTGTGGGATTTCTTAGAAAACCATCATACATCTGATAAAAATTTCTCTACCACTACCCTATTTTTTTCTTGTTTTTATAGCATTGGCTTGTAATTTAGCAACAGTGTTAAATAGTGTGAGGTCAGTGGTATGCTATCTTTTAAGTGAGGTTCCCTGTATTTATCAGTAAAAACACTGAGGGGAGTATCTTACTATGTAGATTTTTTTTTTTAAATTAGGTAATGTTAAATATTTTATCAGATACCACCTTAATCATTTAAGGAGGAGCAATTTAAATATTGTTCTATGGCTATATCACATCAGATTTTCTAATAGTGACTAACATGCATTTCTGATATAAATCTAGCTCTTTTTTTTTTTAAGATTTTATTTATTCATGAGAGACACAGAGAGAGAAGCAGAGACACAGGCAGAGGGAGAAGCAGGCTCCATGCAGGGAGCCTGATGTGGAACTTGATCCTGGGATGCTGTGATCATGACCTGGGCTGAAGGCAGATGCTCAATCGCTGAGCCACCCAGGCATCCCAAATCTAGCTTATTATGTTGGATTTTGTCACATGTCCTTGGGCTCTGTTTATGGAACTCTGTTACACCTTTCAGTGAGACCGATCTCCTTTTCCATTTTGTTGCCTTTAGTCACTAGGATTGTTGTGCCAATACCTTCCCTTTACTTATCCTAACCTGATTTCATGCAGGTATCCTTACGGACCAGTCCTGGGGAATGGCGGCTGTTGACCCGTGGGCCTCCTGGGGTGAGTCAAAGAGCCTGTGTCCCCTTTGGCCATGTTGGCTGCAATGTCCTGGCTTTTCCCAGCAGTGACTTGCCTTGGCCAGGAATCAGACCTAGGGAGCCACCTGGGGATTTAGGGCATAGGGCAGTGGGGAGTGTTTCTGGTCCAGATCTGTCTCTTTCAAAGCTGGAATAGCAAACGATCAGAACACACCACTGGGAGATAAAGTGATGGTGATACCTCCACAAAAGGGGCATGAGAATAAATGTGTGGGCATTTGTGGCTCAGGCCCAGAAAGGATATGAATGGCACTATTTCTCAGAGACGGTGCCTCAGAGCAAAGGGGGACAGTGCAGGGTTCATGTTTAGGCACATTCCTTATCTGCTCTTGAGTCTCATTTCCCTGATCTATAAAATGAGGAGATGAGTTTTTTTATTTATGTAACAGAGAGGTCCAGAAACCAGTTTTCCCTGAACCCCCCACCTCCCAGGAGGAAGGACTCATGTAGGCATACTTCTGGCAGGGAGAGCTGCCTCCGTGACTTTGTTTTCCTCCCCAGCTCTATGTCCTCAGGACTCTGCCTGGCATTTGGAAGAGAACCCCGAGGAGGAGAGGAGGGCCACTGGGCTCCCGACAGCCGAGGTCCAGGTGAGGTGGGCTTCTGCTTTTTCCTGAAGGGCTGTGCTGTCCCTAAGGTGCCCAAGTTGTTTCCCACCATCCTAGTCTATGTGTTCCTCACTTTATAACAGCTAGAGTTGGGTAGAGAAGGAATCGGCCAGAAGTTTACTGCTTTCTGAATACTCAGAATTCAAACAATTTTCTATGACTTGGAGCCACACTATTAATTAGTCTATTCATATTCCTGAGCCCTAGCTGTGCTGTGTGTTGTTTTGGTGGATGAGGGGCAACCCTTTTGGCTGGAAGTCCCCCTTCCTCCTCCTGCCTTACCTCATGTATTCAGTACTGATTCAGTTTGATGGTGTCCTGTGAGCTGTATGCCTGCTGGGAGGGGAATGTGGACAAGTTCGAGCCCAGTCCTGAGGGATTCTCAGTCCCCTTTCCAAAATGATTCACTCAGCTACTGAGGGCTCATGGCCTGCTGGTGCTGTAAATGTGGTTCAGGATATGAGCCTGAGTTGCTGGGGGGAGGCCCCAAGCCTTGAAAGAGCTGAGCCCAACTGATGTCTTAGGAAGTGGGTCAGTCTGCATAGAGTCATTGGGGCACAGAGCAGCTGGAGTCTTTCTGCTGTGGGGAGAGTGGCTGCCCAGTAGACCTGACACATTTGCACCAGGAGGTGAAGGGGATTCATCAGCCTGGTAAGCAGGGGTCTGGCCTTTTATAGCACCACCAGTGTGTGGTGTTGGGTGGGGGGTGAGGCAGGGGTATTGCATGACCAGCATCTGGGCGAAGGCTGACCCCAATTAGAATTTAGCATGGAGAGCCTAGGATGAATCCAACCAGGTTCTGAATGCCTGCAGAGCCAGGGGTCCATCCTGGTGGTAATAAAGAGCCTCTTAAATATTGGGAGTAGGAGGCGCCACTGTCTAAAATGTGGCTGGAAGGATGTCCCTGGCAGGAGTGTGGGGAGAAGCGGGTTGTGGGAAGCAGGCTTGCATTTCAGGTCAGTGTGACCAGGGCCTAGGAGCAAGACCTAAGAAGTATTAGGGAGTCAAAGCAGGGGAGCTTTATGACATAAAGGCATAAGAATGGCTTCTGAGAGAACTAGGACAGCAGAGTTGATACGGGAAAGGTGGCAGGAAATAGGATAGCAGAATAGGTAATATTGGAAAAGTGTCATCTCCCTTTTTTCCTGCCCAGCCTCTTCATTGGTGGCAGCCACTTAAAAACAAATTTTTTCATAACAACTTTATTAAAATATTCAAATACCACAGGTTCACCCTTTTAAAGTAAATAGTTCTCTTGTTTTTCATATATTCACAGAATGGGGCAAGTATTATCAACCGATAATGTACTTCTAGAGCATGGGTGTTTATCACCCCAAAAAGAAATCCTGTACCTATTAGGAACCCATGTTCCCACCACCCTCATCCCCTGACAACCACTAATTTACTTTATCTATTTATTCTTCTATTCTGGACATTTCTCATAAAGGGAAATTCTATAATATATGGCCTTTTGTGTCTGGTTTCTGTCACTTAGTGTGTTTTTAAGGTTCATTTGTATTGTAGTACACATCAATATTTTATTTCTTTTTATAATTCAGAGGCAGCCATTTTTAACTTACTGTTTTTGGTTCCTTAGGGTTATCTCTATGTTTCTAAATGAGAGATTTTTATCTTGATTCATGAAATTTACATTTATCTTATTGACTCCGTACTACGAAAGGTAAAGAAAAATAGTTTCATTACTATATTTAGATTTCTTAAGTTAAAATAATGGATCAAGCAAATAAGAGATACTGAGCTATAAAAATATTAATGACATTTCAGTTTTTTTTTTTTTAATTTTTTTATTTTTTATTAAATTTTTTTTTTTTAATTTTTATTTATTTATGATAGTCACAGAGAGAGAGAGAGAGGCACAGAGACATAGGCAGAGGGAGAAGCAGGCTCCATGCACCGGGAGCCCGATGTGGGATTCGATCCTGGGTCTCCAGGATCGTGCCCTGGGCCAAAGGCAGGCGCCAAACCGCTGCGCCACCCAGGGATCCGACATTTCAGTTTTATGCCTCCCTCCCCAAATTGAAATAAAATGTAATGAAATCTCCCAGTTTCAAAGCTGATAGATGAAATGCATCGCAAGTATGCTACCCCCACATAGCGGTACTGCTGTCCCCAGGAGGCAGAAGGGCCTGAACCATGTGACACAGAGTGGTGGTTGTCTGACATCATAACTTGGGTGACTGTGACGCTCATTGCTGCTATGATATTTATTTTTAGACTCTAACAGAATCAGCAGTGAGCTAGGCTGAAAGATGGGCCCCAAATCTGTCGCTTGGGAATAGAAGTTAGCTGTACTAAAATGCTGTGAAGAAGCCTAATAACCACTGGGCTGCACTCTGCTGTTAAATTATGTGGTTTCTGAGAATTAGGGTTAATGCTGAGAAAATAAAATGGAGAATTAAAATAACAACACCCTTCAATGTCTGAAGAGTTATGATTTCTGAGAACATGCTCCTGGCCCCCTCCCCACACTCACTTCGGATTTTTCCTTGTGGGAAACTCAAGATTTGAATCATGTGAGTTTTTGTATTAAGCAAGGTCTTCAGGAACACTAACAAGAGCTCCGTATCCCTCCCTTGTTCCCTCCAAATTAAATACTGAAATAAAGCATTCACCTGGTGAAAACATCAAATGCTGTCATCCCTTGTTATCTGAGTAGTCTATTCTGGGCAACATGTCGGATAGTGAAGTTTCAACTAGTGGAATCCCAGATCTCATTATTTTGAAGAATAAGGAAAATAATATCCCATCTAGAAAAATCTCCACCCAGTTTCCTCAAATATGGCAGCTCTCAAATCCCTGTATAACAATCCACCAATGCTTTCTGCATGATAAACATGCACATAACAATAATCTAGCACTCTGCACCCATCTCTGATTGTCTTGAGGATGTACACGTAGTTGTGTTTTCCTTGCCTGCAAAGAGCTTGCCCTGAAATATTAATGAAATTCTGAAGATGCGAAAGAACCCATCTGAATTTCTCTAGATTCCATGAATGAGCCAATTGTCCATGATTTCAGATAATGCAGGAACTGAGATCCATCTCAGCATCCTCTGCATCTTCTCAAACTGCACCATGGTTTAGATGTGTAGCTGGTTAGGAGATTCCCTGAAGTGCTATAGAGAGCCCTGGTGAGGGCTCATACATATGTGTAGGAATGATTACAGGAAATTTGGGCGAGGCATTTTCAAGTCATCCTAGCAGATGCTATACTTGTAAAGTGCAAGTTGAGGTATGGTTGCCTGAGAATGGCTTACTCCATCCTGTCTTGCCTTCTAAGGTCCCTCTTGTCCACACAGCTGATGAGACTGGGCCCTTGACTTCCCCCATCTCTTCCTTCTGTTTCAACTCCAGTTGTGCTTTTGCATATTCTGCATCTTTAAGGCCTGCCTGAACTGTAGGCCCCAATATTAGGATATACCCAGCTGTGGGTCTTTTTCTCTTCCTGTGTGGTAGTCCATGATTCCTGCCACTCTGATAACATCTACAAATCTGGAAATACTTGCTTATTTCAAATGTTTGGACAAATCCCATAATTATAGAAAAGTATGAAAAGTAATCAAACGTTTCTATTATTCTGAATAAACAGGTAAGCTTTGTCATATTTGCTTAGTTTTTCTTTTATACATTCTATTCACATTTTCCACATTTATGCAGAATGACCACTTAGGGTGTGTACACAGCTAATTTGTTTTTATACTCATTCATAGATAATGTTTCTGTAGATGTCAGAGATAGTAATATTCCATTTTTAAAAGATTTTTTTCTTAAGATTTTATTTATGAGAGACAGAGAGAGGAAGAAACATAGGCAGAGGGAGAAGCAGGCTCCTCACAGGGATCTGGAAACCCAGAATCACGCCCTGAGCCAAAGACATGCTCAACTGTTGAGCCACCCAGGCAGCCCTAAAATATTTTTTAATTTTCATTTTAACCCATTTCTGTACCCAATGTGGGGCTCGAACTCACCCCTAAGATTAGGAGTTGCATGCTCTACTGACCAAGTCAGCCAGGTGCCCCTATTCTTTTTTTTTTTTTTTTTTTTTTAAGTAATGCTTTTCCTGCCTGTAGCTTTTCTACACCTTTTTTTTTTTTTTTTTTTTTTTTTTACACCTTTCTTACTTATTGAAGGCCAACTTTAAGGTCCATCCATGTGATAAGTCCATTTCTTTCTTTTTTTTTTTTTTTAAAGTCCATTTCTTTTGCCCCTCTTCATCCCTTTTATGGATGGGCTTAGAAGTTCCCTGCCCCCACCAGTTTTGCTATTCCAGGGAAAGCTGTGTGGACATTCTTGTAATTTCACTTTGAGCACACGTATAAATATTTATGTAGATATACCCCTAGAAGCAGAATTATGCTGAGTCGTAGGGTGTGTGTGTGTGTTTTCAATATGACCAGTGCTGCCATAAGGCTCTTTGAAGGTGCAAAGCCTCTTCTCACTACTCTGGAAGAGTGTCAATTTCCTTGCATGTTTGCTGCCACTTAGATCTTTTAATGTTTGCTTACCTCAAGACCCAAAAGGTGTATTACTTTTCATTTCCTTGATCGCTAGTGAGGTTGAGTATCTTCATATCATTACTGCTCATCTGCATTTCTCTCTCATTCCCAGATTTGTGTAGAATCAGACTTGTTGATAAGTAGGCATTTACATGCATTGTGGATTCCTTTTTTTTTTTTTTTTTTTTTTTTGTATTGTGGATTCTGATTCTTTGCCTTGTATGAATTGGTTTCTCCTAGTGTCTCTTAACTTTGTGGTGTCTTTGATCAGTCAAGTGTTTTCCAGGATATTTTTGTCAAATAATTATTTGACAATAATTTGTCAAAAACAAATTTTGTCTTTGTTTATGGCTAGTATTTTTGTGTCTTCTTTTAAGAACCCTTGTAGAAAAAAAAAAGAACCCTTGTAGAAAAAATCTGTCCTGTCCTATTCCTTTATTTTTGTTCTGTTTCTGAGGCCTTCTGTTACATGGTGGGCCTCCTGAAGCAATTGCTGTGTCTTTATGTTCAATGAATTCTTGTTCTTTGAGAGCCTCTCTGGTGTCAGCCTGTCTTGTTTTATACTGAAATCTCCAGTTGGGGAAGTGGAATTGCAGTTCATTGAAAGTTGGATGTAGCTGTGGCCTCTATTCTGTTTTCCTTTCAGCCTCTGAGTTTGGTCTCCTCTTGTGCTGTATGTACTTCTCTTGGCTCCAGGGCGCCTCTGTCTCTGTTCTCTAGGAAAGAGCAGTGAGGCATTTGAGCATCCTGCATTGCTATGGCTGAGCAAGTTTGGTTCCCCATAGGCCTCCCTTCGTGTGTGTGTCTGTGTCTATGTCTGCATCTGTCTTCCGATAAGTCTCACTCTAAGTTCCAATGGAGCTGGTTGAGCCAGGATCATCAAGTTGCTTATGCTCCTCCCTGTTTCCCCAGGTATGCAGCTGGCTCTCAGGCCACAGACCTCCCTGCCCCACATCCTGGTGGAAGAGGTTTCAACTCCAGGGTTTCAACCCAAGCAACCTTAGAACCATGCACAGTCTTGTGTGTGAGAAGGGTCTAAGCTGTGTTGCCCAAGTATAAGTCCAACACATCTGGGTGTTGTGCTGCCCACAAGGTGGAGTGGCTCGTTGGAAGGTGGGACAACTAGCAAAGCTGTCCTGAATACAGACTCACCTCCTTACTTGTTTTCATCCTGGCTCTCATTCCTGCTTTCACTGTATCATTTAAGTTCAGAGCCTGAATCCTCTCCTGGAAACCTCTTCCACTGTAGCCACTTCCAACGTGTGGGCCTGGAATCTCCTCTGCTCAGTTTCCTTGGTCCGCAGCACTTTCATCTGTTACCTCATCTTGCAAGAATGTGTGGAACACCATGTGCCAAACAAAGGCCTCTTCTGGTTATTTCCCTGTCTTAGAAAACTTTGGCAGATTTTTAAACCACAACGTGGAATCTGAATCTTGTGTTACTTCCTGCTACCAAAAATTACTGCAGACTTAATGGTTTAGAACAATATAAATTTACTCTCTTGTTCTAGAGCTCAGAAGTCTAAAGTGGGTCTGTAGGCTCTTGGCAATTAGCCAGCTCTATCTTTCCATTGATACTTCTTTTTTGACATACATTGTTATGTCTTCTCCCCTTCAGATATCAATAAATGGTAACACTTTTTGAAGACCAAAAATGGGTGGCGGGGGGCGGTCTGTAGGGCTGTGTTCCCTCTGGAGGTTCCAGGGGAGAATCTGCTTACTTGCTTTTTCAGCTTCTGGAGATTACCTGCATTTCTTGGCTCATGGTCCCTACCTCTGTCTTCAGTGTGCATCACTCCAACCTCTGCTTCCAGTGTCACATCTGCTTTGACTAAGACCCTCCTGCTCCCTCCTTCATTTATGAGGACCTTTGTGATTACATTGAGCCCACCTGGATGATCCAAGATTATCTCCCCAAATCCATATCCTTAACATAATCACATCTCTGCAAAGTCTCTTTGTCTTGTTAAGGTAACAGTCATAGGTTCTGGGATTTAGGATGTGACCATCTCTTGGTTGGGGGCATTATTACAAACACCTGTGTTCAATAACAGCAACTTTCAGCTTTCTGCCTGCCTTTTCATCTCTGCTGACACTTGAAAAAACTGAACATCTTAAAGCAAATCTAAGCTATTCTGTCATTTTGTTTATAAACACTTATGTGTATATTTCTAAAAGATAACATACTTTTTAGAAAACAGTATCTTTATCAGTACCTTTATCACACACAACAAAATTAACAGCAGTAATTCCTTATTATTAGCTAATACCTAGGCAATGTTCATTTTTTTCCACTTGTCCCCAAAATATCTTTTATGATTGGTTTGTTCAAATAAGGATTCAAACAAGGACCACTCACTGTGTACTTCATATGCTGAAGAAACTAGTCACTTGTCCTGTTGGTTTACCTAATTTTGCCCTCTTGATGTCATTGGTTGAGTTCTTTTCCCTTTGTCTCCTTGTAAACTGATAACTGGGCTAGAGGGCTGAGTAGATTCAGGTCCCATATTTTTGGTAAGAGTACATCATAGGTGTGCTAGGTCCTTCCTCCTGTGTTGCGTTAGTGGGCACAGGTTGTCTGGTGGTCCCATTTTCAGATGATGTGATGGATTAGGCTAATAGCTGCCCCTCCATCAGTCTTCATGTTATTCAGACATGTTCCCTGTCTGCTTTTCATGTGTGATTTAGCAGTCATTGATGATCACTGCCATTGTCCACTATTTGATTAAAGATTGCAGAATCACTCTGATAGTTTCAATCCTTCAGTGTCTATTAGATGTAGTTCTTTGATTCCTTTTTAAATTTGTGCATGCTGGGATCCCTGGGTGGTGCAGCGGTTTAGCACCTGTCTTTGGCCCAGGGCGCCATCCTGGAGACCCGGGATCGAATCCCACATTGGGCTCCCAGTGCATGGAGCCTGCTTCTCCCTCTGCCTGTGTCTCTGCCTCTCTCTCTCTGTGTGACTATCATAAATAAATAAAAATTTAAAAAAAATAAAAAAAATAAATTTGTGCATGCGGGTTCCATTTCTGTCTTGGGAGGAGTGGTTGGCATGGTGGTTAACTTGTGGCTCAGTTCACCAGCTTGACCCCTTCACCTTGTTAAGTGTAAGTGAACTTGGAAGCCATCAAGTAGATGCCACCCTCTGGGGAGATGAGGTAGTATGAGGTGAGCACACCTGGAGCACCCTGGTTAGAAGGGATGATTGCTCTGTGAAAGGAAGCACGACCCACCAGGGAAACTGAGGCCTAGGCAGGTCTGTAGAAGAAAACCAAGGTATTGGCCTTGATGAGTCCAAGGGTTAAGCAAAGTTTCACTGTGAGGTTGTGCTCAGCAGTTTTTTTTAAAAAGATTTATTTAGGGATCCCTGGGTGGCGCAGCGGTTTGGCGCCTGCCTTTGGCCCAGGGCGCGATCCTGGAGACCCGGGATCGAATCCCACGTCGGGCTCCCGGTGCATGGAGCCTGCTTCTCCCTCTGCCTGTGTCTCTGCCTCTCTCTCTCTCTCTCTCTCTCTGTGACTATCATAAATAAATAAAAATTATAAAAAAAAGATTTATTTAATTAATTAATTTATTTATTTATTTATTCATGAGAGACAGAGAGAGGCTGACACGCAGGCAGATGGAGAAGCAGGATCCATGCAGGGAGCCTGACCTGGGACTCGATCCTAGGTCTCCAGGATCAGGCCCTGGGCTGAAGGCGACACTAAACCACTGATCCACCCGAGCTGCCCCTGTGCTCAGCAATTTTAAGTGCTTTTCAGAGTCATGTAATTATTGCAGCAGAATCAGTTCTGTGTTTTAAGCCAGGCATTGTGTAAAGGTGGAGGGGGAGCAGTTAAGTCTGACAGAGCCAAGGCTGATACACTGAAGACCCAGTCACGATGCCTGACCCTGATCAGAGATAACAAGCTCAGTTTGTGAACCTTGAGCTGGGACAGAAAGGAAGGTCATGGGAAGGGCAGTGACATAGCAGGCTGGGAAGGCACGGGTAGAAGCTCACAGGACACTTGCAGTGGAAATTCACAGACACAGGGGTAGGCCAGAAAGCCAATTTCCAGACAGATGAGAGGACCTAGAAGCCATTGGGGCCTGTGGGGATTCTAACGTACTAACCATGATGGATAGCTCACTCCCACTGTCACCACGGGGAGGGCATGCTCTACTCCATCTGGATGGGCCTAGGTAACAAGTTCACATTGATTTGCTTAAGAGCTCTGTGAGAGGAGTGCCTGCAAGGATCAGTCTGTTAAGCTTCTGCCTTTGGTTCAGGTCATGATCCCCAGGGTCCTGGGGTCGAGCACCACACCTGGCTCCTTGCTCAGCAGGAAGTCTGCTTCTCTCCACCCCTGACCCCCAACTTGTGCTCACTCACTCGCATGTGTTCTCTCTCAAATAAAATCTTTTTAAAAAAAGAGAGCAGGGCAGCCTTTGGGGTCGAGTCCCGTGTCAGGCTCCCTGCGTGGAGCCTGCTTCTCCCTCTGCCTGTGTCTCTGTCTCTCTGTGTCTCTCATAAATAAAATCTTAAAAAAAAAAAAAGAGAGAGAGAGAGAGAGAGCATTGGGATGCTTGGGTGGCTCAGCGGTTGAGCGTCTGCCTTGGGCTCAGAGTGTGATCCCAGTCTGGGGATCGAGTCCTACATGGGGCTACCTGCAAGGAGCCTACCCCTCCCTCTGCCTATGTCTCTGCCTCTCTCTCTCTGTGTCATGAATAAATATATATATATATTTTTTAAGAGAGCACTGTGAGGGATGCATTCATACAAAAGTCAGACTTAGGTTGTAATTCCTCCTCCCTTCTAGTTAAGTATTCCTGCTTCTATTTTTCCTAAAAACCTCTCCTGGAACATTTTAAAACTCAGGTGCTTTTTGACGGCAGCTGTAGCTGATTCTCTTTGGCATGGACTGCTCTGCTCAAACCTGTCTCACTCTTAGCTCCAGTCCCTTGGGACAGGAATGAACTGAGAGTGGAAACCTCCTGTTAGTGGCCAGGAAGACAGCCTGTGAATATTTACATCCTCCTCTCAGGTCCTACATCGACATGTTTAGCAGACTCCAACCCAGTGCTTGTAGTCTGCTTTCTTCTGGTCCTGGCCTTAAGTATCTTCATCTCCGGAGAAGAAGGGGGGCACTTCCCTGGTGGTATTCCTGTCCATACTAACCAATATTACTAGAATTAGGTAAGAGTCTTAGGAGAGACCTGCTGATCTTCATTGTGGTTACTGTGGGCCCACATACCTAATTCCCTAAGAGTACATCCCAAATACAGATCCCTTGGGTTGCTCCCAATGGGACTTGATCCAAATCAGTTTACAGTACTGAACATATCCTGGACAGTTTTTCTATATCCTCTGTCTTCCCCAATGTGATCAGCCTCACTCCATCCCTAGAGAACATGGGAGGGTGTGGTTGCAGGCTGAGGGGGAACATCTCTGCTGTTTTAGGAACCAGTAACCTTCAAGGATGTAGCTGTGGACTTCACCCAGGAGGAGTGGGGGCAGCTGGACCCTGTTCAGAGGACGCTGTACCGTGATGTGATGCTGGAGACCTATGGGCATCTACTCTCTGTGGGTAAGCCTGAGCTATCTCAGTTAATGAAGCTATTTCCATTGCATTACCTTCTACTACTCTGTGTTCGAAAGTTCACAGGATGTAACTATGTGGTAATGGATATTAACTAGATTTATTATCCTTTTACAATGTATACAGATACTGAATTGTGTACACCTGAAAGTAATATTATGTAATACTTCAGTTATATTACAATTTAAAAAAATTAGCAATGCGGAACACCACCAACAACAACAAATAAACACTCACTGGCAAATTACACACGCAAAAGCCCTCATGGAGGTCTCAGAAGGACGAAGATGATCTTGAGACCTGACATTCAAGGACACAGTCCTGATGCTTATGAAGCACGAAGTGGGAGAGACCGTGCTTATTCTGCCCAAGTGAAAAGTCAGGAACAATAGGCAAGGGCAGTTTACAAGGCTTTGTTTTTCCTCCGTGCACAGGGAATCAGATTGCCAAGCCAGAAGTCATCTCTCTATTGGAGCAAGGAGAGGAGCCCTGGTCAGTGGAACAAGCATATCCTCAAAGCACTTGTTCAGGTGAGGGCAGGCCCCGGGTGGAAGCAAGAAACTTTCCTGTAAGTCCTCCTTGTTTGGAAAATGGGCTGAGGCCCTGAGGAGTTACCGTCCTCAGACATTCACAATTCCCTCCAAGGAGCTTTATGCCATGTATTGACTTTCCTGCAGCTGTTGATTCAGAGGAAAGATGCCCACCCTACTGACAGTTTTTATGAGCTGCCGTTTCCCTTCCCTGTCATCCATTCTCCTGACCCTCTCATACTCTCTCCACTGCCCCTTTCTCTGAGATGATTTCTTATTCACTTGCATGTGAATAAGAGTCTCTGCCTCCTGGCTACAAGTTTGGCCATAAAGGAAATAAGAACAAATTAACAGAGACTCTTCTATTTCTTTTGTTTAAAAAAGGGTTTTTGTATACGTGATGTATTCACATGGTTCAAAAAGCCCAGAGCTACATAGAATGAGTAAGCTGAAAAATTTCATTTACTTTTGCTGCTGTTATCCACATTATTCCATTATTCTTACCCACATCCCATACACACATAGGGCACGAACAAAGGTAACCACTTTTTTACTATAAATTTTTGAGCTATTTTCTTAGTCGTTGCCCTAGGGATTATAATTAACATTGTAATTTATAACTATCTAGTTTGGATTAATACCATTACTTTTGATAGTCTACAAACTCTCATTCTGTATATCCTCCCCCATTTATGCTGTTACTGTCACAAATTACATCTACATAGATTTATAATTATTGCTTTGTTTTTGTTTTTTAAATCAGGAAAAAAGTTCTAAACAAAAAATGCATTTATAACATCTTATGTTACTGTTATTGATGTTCTATATTTTGACTTACCGTCTAGTGTCCTTTCATTTCAGTGTAAAGAACTCCATTTCTTTTAGGGCAGATTTGCTAGCAGCAGATTCAGATGATGTTTATCTGGGAGTCCTTTCCTTTCCCCTTCATTTTGGAAAGAAAGTTTTGTCAGATACAGAATTCTTGGTTGACAGTATTTTTCTTTCTAGCTTCTGTGGTTTTTGAAGAGGAATAAACTGTTAGTCGTATGAGGATCCTGTATGTGATAAACTGCTTCTCTCTTGCTGCTTTCAGGATCCCCTCTTTGGCTCTGGCTTTTGAGAGTTTATTATGATGGCTGTTCTAGATTCTTAGGAATATATTAGAACTTTTCAAAACTCCTGTAAACCATCTTATCCCTCAGCTTTTTAAAAATCTTTTTGGTTGGGGATCCCTGGGTGGCTCAGCGGTTTAGTGCCTGCCTTTGGCCCAGGGCACGATCCTGGAGACCCGGGATCGAGTCCCGCATCGGGCTCCCTGCGTGGAGCCTGCTTCTCCCTCTCTCTGTGTGTCTCATGAATAAATAAATTTTAAAAGATTTAAAAAAAAAATCTTTTTGGTTTTATGTATTATTTGCCTCAGCTATTTTCCATCATCTCAGGCAGTAGCAACTTTTTAATATATTGCCTGTGAATGTTTGACAAATACCTGCTCCCTAGAGGCTTTTAGGCCCTGACAATCTTTCAAGGGAAGTCCTCCACCAAGTAGGTCAAATAATGACTGTTGTTTGGGTATAGGCTTTGGAAAACCTCTAGCTTCATTCTGTTCTCTCTAGTACCAGAAATATGGGTTGTTATTTTCCAAGGCTGCTGCTGAGCTGGGGAGCCAGAGATGGGATAGGGTAAGTTACAATGCCGCAAAGTTCACTGTTACAAAAATTCAGCTGTTTTTCTTGAATAAAATCTTCCTTGGGCTGCTTCAGGACTTTGGTTAATTTATAGAATTTTGAAGACATTGATTGATAGTTTTTGCTAATGCTGTGTGGTTGCTCTTATAGAATGGTGACATTTCAGAGGCCCTTATTCTTCCATTTTTTACTGACATCTTGCCCCAGATAATCAGTTTTAATAATTTCTATTGTATGTTTCCAGAGTTTCTTTCCTTCTTTCTCTCTTTCTTTTTTTAAGATTTGATTTATTTATTCATGAGAAACACAAAGAGAGAGGGACATAGGCAGAGGGAGAAGCAGACTCCCTGTGGGTAGCCCAATGCAGGACTCGATCCCCGGACCCTGGGATCATGCCCTGAGCCGAAGACAGATGCTCAACCACTGAGCCACCCAGGCATCCCTCCAGAGTTTCTTTATACAACTGTAAGCATACAGGGATATGATTATTTTCACTTTTTCAAAAGTAGATTATGGTATACACTATTCTGTATCTTGCTGTTTTTAATTTAACAACATGCCATAGCCTGCTCTTAAGTTCTGAAGTTGGATGTCTTCCCATCCATTCTAATGAAGTGGAGTTTTTTTGGAGTCTCATCAGTTGCCCCCATTCATATCTGAAATGTTCCATCAAGGGCTCAAGAAATCTGGTAACTTTAAGTCTCCTACTCCTTGTGCTGACCATTCTGAGTTACCATCCTGAGCCTGGTGGTTCCACCATCCCCATCCTTATGCTTCTGCCATCCTGCAAATTATCTCAAACATCTTGATTGCGATAAATCCGTAATCTCAGCTCTTCTAGATGATGTTTCCACCTCCTCTTGATGCATATTCCTGGTACTAGCCTTCTGTGAGTCCCCACTAAGCAGGAAATTGAGAAGTCCTCAATTTTCCTCTCCAGGAAGTAATTTCTCTTCTAACTCCTGAGATTTTCCTGCTTCTGAAATGTCAACTGTGTCATTCAGCTTCTAGCAACATCACTCTCAGGTTCCTTATAAAATTCCTGTTCAAGTTAATGAGGAAATTCTTACTTTATTAGCTACCTCAGGTGTTATTTCTAGCTATATCTCCCTGAAATCTTCCATTTTGAGGTTGTCAGTAAATCTATAGTGATTCAAATAGCCTTTTAAATAACTCTGACTAGATTTCAAGACCTTCCAATTTTTTCTGTTATTTTTCTCATTTTCTAACTAGTTCATGCCATAGAACAGCAGTCTATCTGTATTCAACCAAGGCTTGAAGGCCAAGCTCATGTCATTTCGCTTGTATGAAACTTTCTAAGGTTGTTGTCAGTGTTAATCTCCTTCTCCAGCCTCCTGCCCATTCAGCATCTGCATCTCCTTAGTGTCTCACTGATACACTGTCATCACATAGATTCTAACCAGGTTAAACCATACTTTGTTGTCTTGTCTCTGGTTCTAGATACTCAGCCCACCAGCACTGAATATAAAATTGGACAAGAATTATTCATTTGGTCAGCTGCCATTTTTTGAATCATGACCTGAGCTGAAGGCAGACACTTAACTAACTGAGATACCCAGTGCCCCTCTTAAAGTTTCTATTGGAAGGATTCAAAGCGTATATGAAAATTATTCCCTAACTTTTAAGTAAGCTTGAAATTTGTAATCAATGCCAGTTTTTGAGCAGAGTAGAGCCCTTGTTGTAATGTACGTGGATAGTAAAAGGAAGGAAATGGTGTATAGTAAGAAGGAAGAAAAACCTAGAGAAAGAGGACAAGGGTCTAGGTCCTGTCCAGTATCTGTGGCTTTAGACCATGTGATAGGGTGAATAATGACAACCTCCTACCCCTATCTCCAAAAAGATGTCCACATCCTAAACTTATTATGGTACTTAAGGGGCAAAGAGGCTTCTTGGTTGTGAGTACATTTGGAGATGGAGAGATGATTTTGTATTATCTGAATGGGCCCATAGTAATCTCAAGGTCCTTGTAAGAGTGAGGCTGGAGTGTCAGAGACACAGAAAGGAGATGTGATGATGGAAACAGGCTGGAATGATAGGCTTTGAAGATGGGGAAAGGAGCTGTAAGCCAAAAAATGCAGGCAGCTTCTAAGCAGGAAAAGAAAAGACAAAGGATATGGGTTCTCCCCTAGAGCTCCTAGAGGAAGCTACCCTGGTTTTAGCCCAGTAAAAATCATTTTGGATTTCTGACTTCCAAAGCTGTAAAGTAATAGGGTTGTATTATTTCAGGCTGCAATATATATGGTAATTTGTTATAGCAGCAGTAGGAAAGTAATACAGACCCCCTCAGTTGTTGGAGGATTGATTCCTCAGCAGTGATGATGGGTGGCTTCCTTACACTGAATTAGCCAGACATTTCACTGGATTCACAATTTCATGGAATCATTGGAAATGTCCCCTAAGGATAGTGCAGAGCCAGCATTTAATCACATTATATCAGGCTATAACTCCCTTGTTTTCATCATAATACATTGCCTTTCAAGTCTATCTCTTGTGTCATTTTCCTACAAATGATTCTGTAGTTGTTAGAATTGTAACTATAGGAATATCCTTAAAGCATGGTGACCTTAGGCTGATGAATTTTGCGTCATTGACTGAACTAAATAGGAAACAGTGTGATAGTATATTATAGATAACATCCTTGCTTGAAACTTTTGTTGGTGATATTTTCTCTTAACCCCACCCTCTCCTTTTCTGAGGCAACTGTCAAAATAGGGGAGGATATTATAACATAGAAATGAATTAGGACACTTTAATCATTTGAACATTAGTTAAAGGCCTGGTTGCTTATTTATTTTTTAAGCAAGTTATTTCTTACACTTTTTCACCTTAATAGTATCCATTGTGTCCTTTTGTCAGGGATCCCCCAGACTACCCTTAGGTTCAGTGATTCCCTAAAAGGACTCAAAAGACTCAAAAATCATTATACTCAGGGTAATGGTTTATTACAGTGAAAGGATACAAAGCATGTCAGCAAAGGGAAAAGGCACCTGAAGCAACTCCAGAGGAAACCACGTGTAAACTTGGAATAGTCATTCCCAGTTGAAGTTGCAAAGGATACATTTAATTCCTTCAGCAGTGAGTTGAGACTACATGTATGAAGTGTCATCTTTAGGGAAGCTTGCCTGAGTCTAGGAGTCCAGGGTGTTAGTTAGGGATAGGATATTTGGGTACACAGTTCCTGCATAACTGACTGCAATCATTAAACCTCCAGATCCCCAGAAAGGAAAGCAGATGTTCACCATAAATGACATTTGTATAGACTATTTAGAGATATGGAGACAGTGGGCTTTAACGTCTCAAGCATACAAAACACTCTTAGACCATTTCAAGACCTAAATTCCTAGTAGTTGGCTGAAGGCTGGTCATGAAACAGGCCTTTGTGGGAATGTGCAGAGTTTGAGCAATTCAGGCATGCGGTTAACTCTTTACTGCACATCCTTATTCTGGTCTTCTTTCCATGGGAAAATACCCCTAAATGGTTTTTATTGATTTCCAGTACACACTTATTCTGGTTAACATTCTTTTTGTTTGTTTACTTTTCACTATTCTCCTTTTCCCTGTTGTGATTGTTGTGTTACAAATCTTTTTGAAAATAAATTCACATTTGCCTTTTCAATAATATGGACAATAAATCTCACTTTTTCACTCTGTTCTTCCTAGAAGTTTTTCTTTCTGCTCTCATGGCTTTTTTTTCTGATTATTTCAGAATGGATGAGAAAACTTGAAAGCAAAGCATTGATCCCAACCCAAAGCGTTTTTGAAGAAGAACAATCCCATAGGATGAAGTTGGAAAGATACATATGGGATGATCCTTGGTTCTCCAGGTTAGAAGTCTTGGGATGTAAAGACCAATTAGAAATGTATCACATGAACCAGAGTACAGCTATGAGGCAAATGGTCTTCATGCAAAAGCAAGTACTCTCTCAAAGTGGTTCTGAATTCTGTGAATTTGGAGCAGAGTGTAGCCAGAACTTAAATTTTGTTCCATCTCAGAGAGTTTCTCAAATAGAACATTTCTATAAGCCTGATACAAATGCTGAAAGCTGGCGGTGTAATTCAGCAATAATGTATGCAGATAAGATTACCTGTGGAAGTCATGATTATGACAAAGCCTTCCACCAATCCATACAACCTATTCAGCCTGAAAGGATCCAAACTGAAGATAATCTTCTCAAGTGTGCGGATGCTGTTAAATCTTTCAATCATTTACTACATTTTGGTGATCATAAGGGAATGCATACAGGAGAAAAACTCTATGAATATAAGGAATGCCATCAAATCTTTAACCAGAGCCCTTCATTTAATGAACATCCACGACTTCATATTGGAGAAAACCAGTATGATTACAAAGAATATGAGAATATCTTTTATTTCTCATCATTTATGGAACATCAAAAAATTGGTACTGTAGAGAAAGCATATAAATACAATGAATGGGAGAAAGTCTTTGGGTATGATTCATTCCTTACTCAACATACAAGCACTTACACCTCAGAGAAACCCTATGAATATAATGAATGTGGGACATCTTTCATCTGGAGCTCTTACCTTATCCAGCATAAGAAAACTCATACTGGAGAGAAACCCTATGAATGTGATAAATGTGGAAAAGTGTTTAGGAATCGTTCAGCCCTTACTAAACATGAACGGACTCACACTGGAATAAAGCCCTACGAATGTAACAAATGTGGAAAAGCCTTCAGCTGGAATTCTCATCTTATTGTACATAAAAGAATTCATACAGGAGAAAAACCTTATGTATGTAATGAATGTGGGAAATCTTTCAACTGGAACTCCCATCTTATTGGACATCAGAGAACTCATACTGGAGAGAAACCTTTTGAATGTACTGAATGTGGGAAGTCTTTCAGCTGGAGCTCCCATCTTATTGCCCATATGAGAATGCATACTGGAGAGAAGCCCTTTAAATGTGATGAATGTGAAAAAGCTTTCAGGGATTACTCAGCCCTTAGTAAACATGAAAGAACTCACTCTGGAGCAAAACCATATAAATGTACGGAATGTGGAAAATCCTTCAGCTGGAGCTCCCATCTTATTGCCCATCAGAGAACTCACACAGGTGAAAAACCCTACAACTGTCAGGAATGTGGCAAAGCATTCAGAGAACGCTCAGCCCTCACTAAACATGAAATAATTCATTCTGGAATCAAGCCTTATGAATGTAATAAATGTGGAAAATCCTGCAGCCAAATGGCTCACCTTGTTAGACATCAAAGGACTCATACTGGAGAAAAGCCCTATGAGTGTAATAAATGTGGAAAATCCTTCAGCCAGAGCTGTCACCTTGTTGCTCATCGGAGAATTCACACTGGTGAGAAACCCTATAAATGTAATCAATGTGAAAGATCCTTTAACTGTAGCTCTCACCTTATTGCGCATCGGAGAACTCATACTGGAGAGAAACCATATAGATGTAATGAATGTGGGAAGGCATTTAATGAGAGTTCTTCCCTAATTGTACATCTAAGAAACCATACTGGAGAAAAACCATACAAATGCAATCATTGTGAGAAAGCTTTCTGTAAGAATTCTTCTCTTATTATTCATCAGAGAATGCATAGTGGAGAGAAACGCTTTATATGCAATGACTGTGGAAAAGCCTTTAGTGGTCACTCAGCCCTACTTCAACATCAGAGAAATCATAGTGAAGAGAAACTGTGAATTGAAAATTGATAGATTTTTCTTTTTTTTGTACATTTAGTAATACTTTGAAAAAGGAAAAAAAATCCCTATAAATCAAGAGAGGAAATTTTTTAGTAAGAATTCAGGAAAACTCCTCTTTTACTCGATAGAAAATATCTGCTTAGAAGAAACCTGTGAATGGAAAGACTGGGAAAACTTTCAGCAGTTATGTAGCCTTTATTTAACATCAGATAATTAGAGTGAAGAAAACTCCAAACTCTCATAATTCTCCACCAGGAGTCCTACTTATGGAACACGAATGTAGGGAATGAGACTTCTTTTAGTAAGAGATCTCAACTATTTGTGGATCAAAGTGCATTGTTAAGGGGAAAACCTTGTTCTGGGAAAAGTTTTCAACTGAAAATATACTGTTTTAAATCAAGCTGGAATAATGGATGGGAAGATTTATAGTAACATCTTTTGCATAGTTGTGGAAATACAGATTTTGCTGTTTTAGAGGGAGGATGTGGGTGCCCTTTAAGGAATAGAATATGAAATACTATAAATCTGAATTTAAGAAAAAAATAGTATTAAATGGGATATTTACTGTTGATCAAGATTAACCTTAGAAAAGATTAGTAAATGAGATTACTAATGGTGGAAAGATAATTACCTAGAAGTATGAGACTGACATTGGAACAAGAGGTGACAGTTTATGACCCAGTGTGTCAGTGTCCATGGTTTACTCATGGTTGCATTGTTGGAAAATTCATTTGTAATTTGTGTTAGGCAATCCCTATAAGTTATAATGTGGACACTGCATCAGTATACATAATGTTAAGGAATGAAAAGGACAAAATTGTACATATATATCTATAATTATAACCTCTAATAAATGTATACAGATTAAGACTGGGAGGACCCATGGAGAAATTAACCTGGTTAATTTAATTTTTTTAAAAGTTTTACAAACACAGCACTTATTATGTGCTAGGCTTTGTTTTAAATGCTTTTCAAATATTAACTTCTTCAGTCTCCTTAATTCTATGAGATAGGTTCCATTATTATCCCAGTTTTACAAATGGAGAAACTGGGGCAGAGATGTTGAGAGACCTACCTAAGGACACACAGTTATTAAGAAATGGAACTGAGATTGTTTGGCTCCAGAGTCATGTTTTTAACTACTATGTTATGCTGCCTCTCAAGTGATTTTTTTCCCCATTTTTTCCCTTTTGTTCAGTTTTCTATAGTAGATATTTAATAATAAAAGTCCATAAATTCCTAAACAATGAGAAATAAAATTACCTGGCTCTCTATCCTGAATGCTTTCTGTAACATGAGAGCTCCTCCCTTTGGAATATGAAATCTGGATTGGACATTCAGAATCACTGCATTTTCTGGGACCTGGGTTCCCTAGGATTTCACTACCCATAACTCTGAGAATTACAGCACAGCAATGGCTGGAAGACTCAATGGACATTTGGGCAATGCTGAGGAATGCCCCTTGATGGGTTTAGACTGGCCTTCATAGGACAGAACAAGAGACACTACTGCACATGGGAGCACTATTTCTCAAGGTCTCCCTCAAATTCAGTGTTTATGCTTTATCTTCTCTACATGAGAAGATTGTTTGATAGTAGGGGGGCTTCAGAAGGGAAGGGAGCTCACCAATTCATCAGAGTGAATGCTCTGAATACTCCTAGTAAAGGCAAGATACCTAAGAGGATTTTAAGTGGCTTTTCTCCAGTTCACAAATATTTCCTGTATTTCCCCTAAAGTAGGGCTATAACTAAGAGTCAGCAATCCTTGGATATGCTTCAAGGATATTGGTTAGAAATCTAGGATACAAAAGGTTCATCTGGTTCTTGTAGGGTCCATGATTCCCCGTTGGTTGAGAAAGTGGCCTAGCGGTGTGGGGAGGCAGTGCTCACCATCTGATTCCTGTAGCTGGAACTCATATAATTATGTAATGTCTGATTCCCTACCTTTCAGGGTTCAATACATAGTGGTCACCCAATAAATGTTGCAGGAGTAAATTAACTGAATGGAATTCTCATGTGATTTGTGCAAAGATAAAGAGATAAGGTAAAGATTTGTGCAAAGAGCTTTAGAGAGAATAAAATTAGCAACATCTCTGTTAAGAGAAAGCACTACGTATGAAGTCATACTGTAGCTATATGGGTATAGTATTCCAGTACCCAATATAATACATTTTGAGCAAATCCAGTTTCTCTGATTTAGGAACTCCAAAGGATCTCATAATTCATATACAATATTATATAAACATCCTGACAAGTTATCTATTACCCAGCTTAGTATCTTTTAAAAAATAATTTCTAAAAGTGCCTCTTCTGGCCCAGCCTACATCACAAATCAAGAGAAAGTCCCAGACTTCTGCTTCCTCCTGAAAGGACCTCCTACATCCCTACCACTTAAAACACAGCCTTACATGCAGAGTGTGCCTTAGATGTTCAGGACTCCCAGCCCCCTCACCTCCCTTATTCTAACCCATGTGTGGCTCAGTTCATTGTCCCTCCCCCCTTTTTAAGATTTTATTTATTCATGAGAGACACCAAGAGAGACAGAGGCAGAGGGAGAAGCAGGCTCTACGTAGGAAGCCTGATGTGGGACTCGATTCCGGGACTCCAGGATTACAGCCTGAGCTGAACGCAGACACTCAGCCACTGAGCCACCCAGGCATCCCAGTTCATTGCTCTTTTGACCACATCTTCAACTTCTCCCGAACTCTGGAACCTTCTGCCCTTCTGCCGGGGCCAGTTGGAATTCTTAATTTGGCCATGAGCTCTCCCCTTTCACCTTCCTGTTGTGGTTGAAGCTTGGGTCTCCGCTATGCACAGTGTCTCTTACAAGAGTGCCAGGGGGTGGCTCCTTTCCCTCCCACTTTTCTCATTTGCTGCTTCTAGATTGTTCTTCCCTTTTCTCTAAAACTTACCTCTGACTCTTGGGACATGAGACCGTCACTCTTGATTCCTTCATTGCAGTCAGCTATTTGGGGTCTACATATCAGATTTCAGCACCTGCTTTACTGCATCTAGAACCACCTCCATCATAATGCTTCCTGAGTCCATCATCCATCTAAGTGATCCCACAGTTCTTTGACCGCTGTGCTCATGGTTTTGTAAACCACTCTTCACTCCCATTGTCATCCCTAGGACTATACCATTACTAGTGACTGGAACACCTCCACTATCTCTTTTTTAAGCTGGTTGGCTATTTAGTATCAAGATTCCAATAGCCCCTTAACCTTCCCTCATGCTCACTGCCAGCAGATGACTTTGCTTCTTATTTCCCCGAGAGAACAGAAGCAATCAGAATCCTGCCATAACATCAACCCACCTTCCACAGTGTCCATGCATTCCCACTGGTACCTATATACAAACTGATTGGGTTGGCCCTAGAGCCTGTCTCCTCCATACTGCTCAAGGGCATTGTTTTTTTTTTTTTAATTTTTTTAAAATTTATTTATGATAGTCACAGAGAGAGAGAGACAGAGACACAGGCAGAGGGAGAAGCAGGCTCCATGCACCGGGAGCCCGACGTGGGATTCGATCCCGGGTCTCCAGTATCGCGCCCTGGGCCAAAGGCAGGCGCCAAACTGCTGCGCCACCCAGGGATCCCTCAAGGGCATTGTTATAGCAAGTTTCCCCTCTCTTGTGTCTTCAAGTTTTCCCTACATACTGGATTATTCCAACATGCAAACATGCTTTTAAAAAACAAAACCCATTGATACCACATCCCCTTCTAGCTCTTGCATAATTTCTCTGCCTCGTTGTAGAAAGCAAAATTTCTCAAAAGTTGTCTGTTCTTGCTCTACTTCCTTTCCAATCTTTCTTCAACCTTCTCCAAACCTACCTCAATGCCAGATGTCCTCCACATTGCTAAACCTAGTGGTCAATTGTTTTTTGCCTTCCTTGACATAGCATTATAGATAATAGATCATTTCCTCCTTAAAACATGTTTTTCAGGGATGCCTGGGTAGTATAGTGGTTGAGCATCTGCCTTTGACTCAGGTCGTGATCCCAGGGTCCTAGAATCAAATCCCACATTGGTCTCCCTGCAGGGAACCTACCTTTCTCTGTGTGTCTCTCATGAATAAATAAAATCCAAAAAACAAAACAAATATTTTTCAGCTGGCTTTCAGGACTTCCCTCCTGATTCTGGGACATTCTTTATTTCAGGCCACTTGGCTGTTTCCTCCCCACTTTCCTTACCTCTTAATGTTAGGACATTAAGGGTGCCCTGTTTCCTACCTGTTTACACCCTTGATGGTCTTGTCCAGTCTTGAGCTTCAAATACCACTGGTACGCTGATGACTTTACTTTTACGGCTACAGTTTGATGAGTGTTGAAGTATTTTTACTTTTCCAAAAAGTTCCTTCATGTCTCTACCGTTCATTCCCACCCTACCCTACACTCCCAAGCCCTGAGCAACCACTTCTCTGCTCTATCACTACATATTAGAATTCTCTTTTAGGCTTTTTTGTATAAATGGAATCACACAGTATTCTATTCATATACTTACCTTTGTGTCCAGAATTTTTTGCTCAACATAATGGAGGTTTTTTTGAGGCTCATCCATGTTATAGCATGTATTGGTAGCTTAATCCTCTCTCTCTTCTCTCTCTTCTCTTTCTCTCTCCCCCTCTCTTTTTTTTTTTTTTTTTGAGTTGAATTCCATTATGTGGATGTGCTACCATTACTTATTCTATTTACCTGTTGATGAACATTAAGTTGTTTTCAATTATTGGCTATTGTAAATATAATTGCTATAGACATTCATCTACAAAGCTTTTGTATATGCAAGTTTTCATTTATTTATTTATTTTTTTTGCAAGTTTTCATTTATGTTGTGTAAAAACCTAGGCTTAGAATACTTGTGTTTTGTGTTAAGTATATGTTTAAGTTAATAAGACACTGGATCTTTTAATCTGATGTCGTTAATGTTTAATATTCTGGGAAATTTATGTCTTTTTTTATGATAGTATCCATTTTTTTTAAAGATCAGGAACAACAAAACATTTTTGCACAAGGAGGATAAGATAAGGAAAAGAAAATAGGAATTGAGAAGAGCATCATAAGAGATGAGAGATCAATTTTTAAAGGCCTGTGATATGCTTAAATCTGAGACCAATGCTTTTGTGTCAGTGGCAAATGGTAACAGAAATGAAAGAAGCAGAATGATGGTAGTGAGGCTTTATAAGGATTGGTAAATACAGAGAACAAGGAACAAGCCCTGCCAGTCCATTGGATTCAGGCTCTTTCTGCCTGGATTTCTGTTAAACCTTGATTAAGACACTTCTGGGGCACCTGGATGGTTCAGTTGGTTAAGTCTCGCTTTGGTTCAGGTCATGATCCCAGGGCCCTGGGATGATGTCAAGTTCCCTGTTTAGTGAGGAGCCTGCTTATGCTTCTCCCTCTCCCTCTCCACACATGATTTTTCTCTCACTCTGTCAAATAAAAATTTTAAAAATCCTTATTTAAAAAAAGACTCTTCTAGCCACATACCACAAAGTGGGCTTTGTTTTTCTGAATTTCACTGTTCTTTTTTTTTTTAATTTATTTATTAATGACAGACACAGAGAGAGAAAGAGGCAGAGACACAGGCAGAGGGAGAAGCAGGCTCCCCACAGGGAGCCTGACGCAGGACTTGATCCCGGGTCTATAGGATCACACCCCGGGCCAAAGGCAATGCTAAACCGCTGGGCCACCAGGGCTGCCCTCGCTGTTCTTTTTATATGTCCTTAACAGTTATGTACAGAGACAGTCAGTTATACCTATTCATGTCACTAATCCACCAGGGTGCTCTGCTCATCAGCTCTAGCATACTTCTTTGGAAACCAATCAAGTATCCCCACACAAATCCATCTTCTGATTCCATGCCTTTGTATTTCCTTTCTAAGCTTTTAACACTTATTTACCTCTTTTGTATTTTCCTGGTTTACCAAGTAGTAACTAACTCTTCTCACTTATGACTAAAAGAAGGAGGGCAGCTCTGGTGGCTCAGCGGTTTAGCGCTGCCTTCAGCCCAGGGCGTGATCTGGGGGTCCCTGGATCAAGTCCCACGTCGGGCTCCCTGCATGGAGCCTGCTTCTCCCTCTGCCTGTCTCTCTCTCTCTCTCTGTGTCTCTTATGAATAAATAAAATCTTAAAAAAAAAAAGAAGAAAGAACTATAATATAGTAATAGTTCATTCCATGGATAGTCAAATCTGACAAAGGTTATAGTTCTTTCCAAGGTCAAATGCCTATGTTTCTTTTTTTTTTTAAAGATTTTATTTATTTTTTTCATGAGAGACAGAGGCAGAAACATAGGCAGAGGGAGAAGCCGGCATGGGGAGCCTGATGCGGGACTCAATCCCAGGACCCTGGTATCACGGCCTACCCAAAGGCAGATGTTCAACCACTGAGTCACCCAGGTGCCCCAAGTTACTATGTTTCTGATTTTATCTTGAGTAGCCTTACACAGAAATGGTGTTACATCTGTAGTAAAAAGAAGATAAACTATGATAGTAAATATAATAATATTAGACAAACATATACAAATATAAAATTTTATAATATGTCATAGTATAGTAACAATTTTTGAGTGACATTCTGGGACATGTGCAAAACACTGTGGAAATTTATGTTTTTTGTTTTTAAATACTTCATCCTTTTCATTTAAAGAGTTTCTCTTTTAGGATTTCTGTTATTCAAATGTTAGCACACAATGTTTATTGTCCATATTTCTTAGGTTTTCTTCTATGTTTCCTAATTCCATTTCCTTTCTTATTTTTTTCTGGACATTTCCTCAATTTGCTCTTTCAGTTTGCTATTAGCTGATAATTTCTTTATTAGCTGTCCATTTTGCTATTTCCTCTACTGTGTCTTCATTTCAACAATTGTTTACATACCTAATATTTATACTTGGTTCCTTTTTATGTGTTAATATTCTCATTTCCTATTGCAATACCATGCCTTACCTCTTTAAATATATTTAGTAGACTAACTTAAAATTTTGGTCCATCTGTTCTATTTCTGATGGAAGCTGTAACGCATTGTGTGTTTTCTCTTGAAATTGTTATGTTCAGAAAATTGCTTATTACTTTCGCCAGTAAGTGTGTTTCCTTTGGGGTCACTGGCTGTTCTGTCGGTTGTTATGCTTTCATGTGATGGGATCAGATTCTGGTTCCTATAAATAGTTCAGGATGAATGGATCCTAAGAGGGGAGGCTGAGTCATCAGAAAGCTAGTCAATGACTCCTTACCTCATGAGAGAACTCCTTGGAATGTGATCCCAGAGCCATCCCAGAGCTTTGAGGAGGCAGGGTGGAGAAACACTTGCCTGAGATAATGTGGTCTGTGCCTGCTTCTCAGCTACTCATAAGCACAGGCTACTGCCTTGCCTTGATTTTGCTCCACAGGAAGCCTGGACCAGAGGCTCGGTTACTGCAGCTGTGGGCACAGATACTGTTCCAATGCAAACAGGAAAGAAGCAAGAGCAAACTCCAGAAGTTCCTTTTGTTTGATTCTTACAGCTCAGCTATCTATCTCCTGCTCTAGTCATACAACCCAGCATACTCATTCAAAGCAGGTATCAATCTAGGTCTTTCTAGCATTTCTGATATTCCCTGATCTTTTTCCTCTTAAGTTATATCTGGATTTAATCTCATGTAGGTGCCTATAGGGCTTGTAGGGACCAGAATTGGAATTTCATTTGTGAAACTTAGAATAGATTGTCTTAACATGAAGTCTATGGAAAGGTACTAGAGACCATACCTTTTACCTCCCCTTATTCTCTCAGCTTCTCCATAGGAGCAGCACACAGCACAGCACAGGCAAATCCAAGGCCAGGGGGTTCTATTTAAAATTGCAAAGCCTCAGGAGGCCTGAGTGAGCTCAGCAGTTGAGCGTCTGCCTTTGGCCCAGGGTGTGCATGATCCTGGAGTCCCAGGACCCAGTCCCACATCAGGCTCTCTGCATGGAGCCTGCTTCTCTCTCTGCCTATGTCTCTGCCTCTCCGTCTCTCATGAATAAATAAATAAAATTTAAAATAAAATAAAGTGGTAGAACCCTCTTATTCTTGATTCTCTTACCCTACTCTACTCTCCTGGTCTATATATTTGTAACCCCTACCAACTTTAAGCATGCAATATAACCAACTTGTTATGTCTCTTTTTATTGCCTTTATCACTCTTACTAGATACAAACTTCAACAAGACATGGTTTTTCACTTGTTCAGTGTTCTGTCTCCAGGACCTGGAACAGTGTCTAGCACACAGCAAGTTTTCAACAGATGTATGTTGAACTAAAGGCCAAATCAGCATTAGGGTGATTCCCAAACTCAGACTCTGAACATCTTCCCATATTATTATGACAATGGAAGGGTCCTAACAGAGTCCAGGGAAGACAACCCAGGCCAAAGGGAAGAACTTTGGGGCATGGATTTGTTAGAGCATACAGAGGTAATAATGGGTAAGACTGTTCTGGATTTTGAATAATTGGAAAAATAAAGCTTGAGGCTTAAGAACTTCCTTGGCGCTGTACTTGTTCTGGTTTATTTACTGGATGTTATCATTTTCCAGGGAGTAAACCAGCTGGAGCTTATTCCTTTGGAACTTGGTGTAAACTGCCACATGGCTTAAGTGGACCTTCCAGTGCCTTAACACTGTCGGGAGGTGCTAAGACGTGTAATACATGTAATGGTATAAATAGCTCAGTTACTCACAAACATCCTTGGGCATCTTCATTTTCAGTACATTGATATCAGAAACTATGCATGAAAGCCGCGTTTCTATATCGGAAGGCTATTATTGTATGGGCTTTGGGAACCCTCAGCTTCAACCAGGAAGGACAGAAGGCTTTTCTGTGTACAAAGACCTCTCTGGCCATTGTGTGGGTAATGGACTAACGGAGACAATGGCCTGGCGGAAAGAGAAGCGTGGAGGTACGGAGGCTCTGACCAAGGAGGTGCAGAGGTTGTGGATAAGCGATGAACACTTATGTCTGCTGATTCAGACAATGTTACACCTTCAGACAAGAGCCTTTTTTTTTTTTTTTAAGATGTTATTTATTCAAGAGACACACACAGAGAGAGGCAGAGACAAAGAGGGAGAAGCAGGCTGCCCTCAGGGAGCCCTACGCAGTACTCGATTCCCGGACCAGGATTATGCCCTGAGCCGAAGGCAGATGCTCAACCGCTGAGCCACCCAGGCGTCCTAGACAAGGTCCTGCAGACAAGGCCCACAAATCAACCACATCGTGGCGAAAGTACTGACGATCAAGAGAAGCGCCAGAGCAGCAAAGGACCAACTCTCAACCTGAAGCAAAACGCTAAGGCAACCAGAGGACCGCGGGGGCAGGGAGAGGCCGCAGGGGCCGGCCCCATCCTTGCAAGGAGGGCCGGGTGTTTCTCCCCAGTTAGTTCTGCCTCCGGGGAGCTGAAGATCGAGGGAGCCCGGAGCAGACAACCCCACCACCTGATGCGCGTTTCCCTCATACCAGCGCCAGCAGCCAAATAGCATCGTTGAAGCCCCCGGCCTCGGCGCCGCTCCCGGAACCACGCCTGCCTTTACGCCTCGCGACTTTGCCCTCACTCTTCCCGCAGCCCCTCTACCAGGAGGGGAATTCAGGCGCCCACCCGCGTCCACCTCCCCACAGGCCACCCGCGGGCCGCAGATTTCGTTAACCTCGGAGACGCTGCCAGGCCGCACGGCCTTCTGGGACTTCCGCCAATACAGGCTGTGGAGACACCGGGTCCGGGTCCGCTTCTGGGAAGCGCGCCGGGAGCCGCCCTCTTCCTTCTCCCCTAGGTCCGCTGCCTCCTGGGCAAGAGCTCTCTGCGGTTCTCTCCCAGCCCAGTGGGAGTGATCACGGGTGGCGGGAAAATTCTCTGGCTGGTGGGCCGCGTTTAAAGTTCACAGTTGAGGGACGCCTGGGTCTCTCTCAGCGGTGGAGCGTCTCCCTTCCGCTCAGGGCGTGATCCCGGGTGCGGGATTGAGTCCCACATCGGGCTCCCTGTGAAAAGCCTGCTTCTCCCTCTAAGTCTCTGCCTCTTTCTCTTTGTTTCTCATGAATGAATGAATGAATGAATGAATGAATGAATGAATAAATAAATAAATAAGATCTATAAAAACAAAAACAGCTCCCAGATGGGCCCCTCGGCGTCCCTGCGAGGAGTAGCCTGGGGACAGTTTGCAGATATTGGAACAATAGTTCTGCTTGTATACCAGCCGTACATAGGGCGCGTAAAGGGGGAATACTGTTTTGTAAACATACAAACATTTTAATGGTGAGGGGAAATGAAAAGAACGGAAACCAGTGGCAATAAATTTACATATATTTTCAAGAGCTATAAATGAAAATGTGAATGATTAAGAGATACAATGCAAGTGCTTCCTGCATGAGTAGACCCAGTAATGTAGAAATGTGAGTTTTCACTAATCTGCGGACTGAAGAACATCCAAACTAATTATCCAAAATAATAGCTTTTATTTTTATTTAAAGATTTTATTCATTTATTCATGATAGACATAGAGAGAGAGAGAGGCAGAGACACAGGCAGAGGGAGAAGCAGGCACCATGCCAGGAGCCTGACGTGGGACTCGATCTGGAGACTCCAGGATCTCGCCCTGGGCCAAAGGCAGGCGCCAAGCCACCGAGCCACCCAGGGATCCCCCAAAATAATAGCTTTTAAAAAGAAATGAGCTATCAAGCCATGAAAAGACGTGGAAGAACCTCAAATACATATTAGTGAGTGAAAGAACCCAATCTGAAAAGCAGCCCGCAGCTGCCAATCCATACTATAGGATTCCAACTATATGACATTTTGGAAAGTGCAAAATTATGGAAACAGTAAAAAGACTGGTGATTGCCAGGAAGAGAGTGGAGGGAGAGACGAACAGGTGGAGTAGGAAAGATTTTCATTTTTTTATTTTTTAAAAGATTTATTTATTCATTTATGATCGACATAGAGAGAGAGGCAGAGACACAGGAGGAGGGAGAAGCAGGCTCCATGCTGGGAGCCCGATGTGGGACTCGATCCCCGGACTCCGGGATCCGCCCTGGGTCAAAGGCAGGCGCTAAACCACTGAGCCACCCAGGGATCCCTAGGAAAGATTTTTAGAGCAGTGCAGCTATTCTGTATGATACTACAGTTTGGATAAATGTAATGATATATTTCAACCCATGAATTATAGAATTATAAACCATAGAATTATAGGTTCTCAAACCCATAGAATTATAACAAACCCATAGAATTATAACACCAGGAGTCAACTGCACCCCATGAGGGGCTGCACAGCGGGGTCACCTAGAGAGTGAGCTCAATGAAGCAGGTGGGGAGCAGGTGAATATCCATGGGCAAGTACCTTTATTGGGGGCCAGGATGGAGTACATAAGAATAGGTGGGAGAGGATATCATTGATACATTTGAATATTGATAGGTTGTGTTCAGGGGAGAGCAAAGGGGAATGAAAGCTCAAAGAGGTTAAGTAACCTGATCAAGCAGAAATGTCTAGGAAGCCAGAAATTAGGACTAGAATTTAGGCATCTGAATACAGAGCCCTACTGTGTTCTCTATTTGCCTTTTATGTGTCTCCCTGGATTATAATTAATCTTCATTGCCTCTTTACTAGTCTATACACTCACTGAGGGCTGGGCCCTGGCTTCATTCTTATCTGTATCCACAAATGAGCCTCCTCCCACACCCCATCCCATTAATCTCCCCATTGGCTGATGAGGTTCTGTGAAGGAAATCCAGGTGGCAACGTGAGCTGACCTCACACTGGTAACTCCAAGTCAGAACCCAAACATTCCGTAGGGAACATATTCTTAGTTCCTCAGATAAATAGAGGGCAGATACTGCACTATAGCTAAATATTTCCTTTCATCCATATGATAAAACACTAACAGTTTTGGAGTGATGGACAAAGTTAAAAGTTCTTTCACCGTTTTAGTTTTGTTTTTAATGGAATATCCACTTCTTTTATGTTTGCCTTATGGAGGTGAGTTCAAACCAGTTGAACTAGCAACAGACTTTTTTTTTAAATTTTTTTATTTTATGATAGTCACACACAGAGAGAGAGAGAGAGGCAGAGACACAGGCAGAGGGAGAAGCAGGCTCCATGCACCGGGAGCCCGATATGGGATTCGATCCCGGGTCTCCAGGATCGCGCCCTGGGCCAAAGGCAGGCGCCAAACCGCTGCGCCACCCAGGGATCCCGAACTAGCAACAGACTTAATGAGTAGCTTCAACCATCGTTTTTACTAGTTCATGGGAAATAAAAAGGGGTAATGACATTTCACTGCTATGAGTTTTCTTTTCAAGGCTACAAACAGCTACAAACATCCGCAAATGTCACTAAGCAGAAAGGACTTACTTCAAGACCCAGAGGTAAGTCATTATATTACTCATTTGGTGAAATGAGAACCAAAGTCTCGGTCCTCCTATTTGCTATACCAATGTGTCTTTTTTGTGTGTGTGTATTTGTTAGTAGCATGGTCTATACAATAATATAATTAGATAAGCATTGCTTGGAAATTAATCCTATATTATTCTCTCTCTGTAAGCTGTGCTTTCTTTTAGGGGTGCCTGGGTGGCTCAGTGGTTGAGCGTCTGCCTTCGGCCCAGGGCGTGATCCTGGAGTCCCAGGATCGAGTCCCACATCCGGCTCCCTGCATGGAGCCTGCTTCTCCCTCTGCCTGTGTCCCTGCTTCTCTCTCTCTCTCTCTCATGAATAAATAAATAAATCTTTAAAAAAAAAGAAATTGCCAGGCTTCTCTTTCATTTCACTTAGCACACACAGAAACTGAGACCGCATCAGGATCATTTGAATGTGTCTCTATGACTTTAAATGTAATTTGGGGCATGTTTTGGTGGTGGACCCATATGAATCCAGATACGGATGCCTTGCAAGTGTAAAATGTTCTTTATAATCATCTGCCTTCTGTGATTTGCACTCTGAGTCCTGAAACTCTGTGTGTCTAAAACAGAGAAACTGACCTTGACAGTTGGTGAAGTCAGGCCCCAACTCTTTGTGAAGATATGTGGTAGTTATAAACAACCTCTATTCTGTACAAGGGAAATGCTATCTGCACAATACAATAGCATCTAATTTCTGTAGGAGGAAAGGATACTGCCATGGGGCCCTCCCTGGCACTGGCTCTCTGACCTTTTGCCACAGACCCCTTCAAATCTGTGAGGTCCTCAACCAGCTCATGTGACTGCAAAAACAGACCAGAAGACAAATGCATTATGTTCTTACACTCTGTATTCATAAAAGGATACACTAGATGCAAACAAAATAAATTGCAAATTAAGTCACATATTTCAATGAGGCATTGTAATAAATTTATTAACAGCATTTACCATCTTAGCTATTAGGTCCCCTTGTCTAATACCAAGTTATTTCTTTATTTTCCTAAATCTATCTTAAACTTGTCTCTTCTCCCTGATTCCTTTGAATGGCCTTCTAGCTCTGAGATCTACTATGCCCAACCAATTCCCAAGGCATCATGGTAAGTCAAGGGATCTGAGAGGGTGGTGGGGATTCAGGGACATTCCCAAAGCTGTTGTGGTGTATGGCTCCAGAGGACACCCCCACAGTGCTCATCACTAATTTGTACAGCTCTTTATGCAAATTAGAAAAAGGAGTCCCCCTGGATGGTTGATTCAGGCATGATGCCACTCAGAGCAGATTAGGAAATAGCACATGTCAAAGAATCAGGAAATACAGAGAATCTTAAAAACACAATTAATACATCCAGCAATCCTGGACACATTATTGATTTTTTTAAGTTTAGCTATGAATATTTCACTTGCCTGTTCACCCCCATACTACCAAAGCCAAGAGACCTGGGGTTCTAATCTTTACCTTGAAACCAACTTGTGCTGTGAGCTTCCACTAGAGAGACCTCCGAGGTGCCTGAGCTTTGGGTTCCAAGTGCAGGTTCTAATATGGAGATAGAGGACAGAATTGTTTTAGATTATTGAAGACTCAATTTTCTCTGTAATTCTTAGTGCTTGGTTATATGGAAAGAAGCTTAATTTATAATAAAGAAAATATTCATTCCAGTTTTCAGCTATCATGTTGAAAGTGGACAGAATATTTCATTAAAAAACTGGCAAAGAAGTTGGGAAATATAATCTCTCTCTCCTCTCTCTCTCTCTCTCTCTCTCTCTTTAAGTAGGCTCCATGCCCATTGTGGAGCCCAATGTGGGGCTTGAACTCATGACCCTGAGATCAAGACCTGAGCAAAATCAAGAGTCAGATGCTTAGCCAACTGAGACACCCAGGCGCCCCTAATCTAACATTTTTTTAAATTAAAGTATAATTAACATAGTATCCTGTTAGTTTCAAGTGTATATCTGGTGTGTAGGCTAGGAACAAGTGCAACTTCTATAAAGGGCCATTGACTATTCTTAAAATAAAAAGAATGTATATACTTTTTGGCCCAGAGTATTGAAATATACCTGAGATTTATTTTTAATCAGGTATGATAAGACATACAGATGTGGAAATTATTGTTCATGAAGGAAGAACATTATACTCACAGATTTCTAGAAGCAGGAAGCAGAGGGATGAGAGGGAAGAGCATGGCCCAGAGTCTTTATTGGTGTTTTCAAGGGAAGGAATGGGTGACGTGGGTAGGTACACTGAGTAGTGGAGAGTTGGAATGATTTTGGTGGGTTCTGGGCTATAGGAGTGGTTTCTAGTTGTCCAGCACCTGGCCCTGGGATAATTTAGGGCAGGGGGAACATTGGCTTTGTGCGTGAGAGGTAGTTAGGAGTGTGGGCTCTGGATTGGATGGTTTATATCAAAGGCATGCCTATAGGGGAGTTGTCTGAGATTTGTAGGAAATAGCCCTGGGAGGGACAGTCTGTCCAGGATCAAAGCCTCAAATACCAAAGTTTCAAAAATATAGAAAATAGGAAACCTGACTGGCTCAGTCAGTGGAGTGTGCAACTTTGGTCTCAAGCAACTCATATGTTGGGTGTAGAGATTACTTAAAAACAAAATAACTTAAAAATACAGAAAATAAGAAAATATAGTCAATATACACAGAAGTTTCATTTCTAGGAGATTTTATTAAAAAGTGTTTCTCAGGGTGCCTGGATGGTGCAGTTAGTTAATTATTTGACTCTTGATTTCAGCTCAGGTCATGATCTCAGGGTCATGAGATTGAGTCCTTCTTTGGGCTCTGTGCCCAGTAGGGATTCTGCTAGAGATTCTCTCTCCCTCTGCCCCTTCCCCCATGCCCACTCTCTCAGATAAATGAGTAAATCTTTTTTAAAAATATGTTTCTCATTTCTCTAACCCACTTATTCTCCTTTTCTTCTTGATGACTTCCACATCTATTTTTCTTGTTCAGCACAACCCCCAACATGTTTACCTTACTCTCACCCTTGTTTCTTCCATCCCTGGCAACATACGAGCTATCAAAAGAGAGTATCTACATCTCCCTTCCCCCATCTACCTGCAATTGCACCCTTGTTCTCTGCCTTCCTTCCTTTCCAGGGCAAGGATGGCCCCAGCCAGTGAGCCAGTATCCATCTCTGTCAACTCACAGGTGCTACTGGCAATTCTCTCCCCATTTCCTGTGTTATCACAACTTAGAGTATCACTCCCATTCTCCTATGAATGTACTGTCAATTCTCTCATCTTAGAAAGCAAAACCCATCTCTTGATCCCATAAGCTCTTCTGGAATATGCCCTGACCGCTCCCACGCAACACCAAGTTCCTCAAGAGTTTCTAAAACTACTGTCTTCAATTCCTTTCCTCCTGTCCTCTGTTGAACTGTTAAAGTCACTAGGGCAACTCCACCACATTGTTAGCACTGCCTGAGTCTATTCTTCCAATGACCTTTCCAGGGTCAAACCCAGAGGCCATATTGATATCATCTGTAACTCATTTTTTCTCTCTGCCCCAGTATTTCATTGGGAAAACCTGAAAGCACATAGGAGAGTAGAAAAAAATCATAGAGTGAACACCCACAACATTCTCCATGCCTGTGGTCTACAATTATGCATTTTACACCACTAGCCTTTTCATAGCCCAGGTTCTTTTCATCATGCTCACCTGACCCTCATTGATGGGTGAACTTCAGGGAAGTTTTTAGTTTAGTTGCAGAACTCCTTCTGCGCCAGAGAGAGGGAAGGCCAAGTGCAGGACAAAGATCACCTCAATGTGTCAGATTTTACAAGTGGCTGAATAATGTACTTACTTTGCCAGTTGTTCTTTCATTTAAAATTAAAATTAAATGATATGAATGATAACTCTCTGGTTATTTTTTTTTTAAATTTCAGGTAATGGGAAGGGTGATACACCTAGCCCTATAAAGAACAACCAGAGTTTTAAGGCACATTCGACACCCCTGAACACCGACACCTGGAATGCAGGTTCCTGGAATGGCATTCTTGATTTCTCTCTAACACCCTTTCAGCACAGCACTGCGCACCCTGAGACCATCAATGCAACATGTGAATTGTCAAACTAAAGCCACTCTCCAGGGTGCCTGGATGGCTCAGTGGTTGAGCGGCTGCCTTTGGCTCAGGTTGTGATCCTGGGGACCTGGGATCAAGCCCTGCATCAGGCTCCCCGGGGAGCCTGTTTCTCCCTCTGCCTATGTCTCTGCCTCTCTGTGTGTCTCTCATGAATAAATAAATAAAAGTTTTTTAAAAACCACTCTCCTTTCAGCTACAGAGATAGCAGGTGCTGCTACACAGAGCCAGAGATCCTGTGCCTCTACAGAGTGAAAAAGGGCTTTGACAAAGGACAAGAGGCAGAGGAAGCAAAGGGAGTTAGAGATTACATGGGAATTCTAATTATATCTGTTCACACGGGCTGTGCAATCTAGCCTCCATATTTTTAAAAATCAAGGATGCTATCTTTTATGGTACTTCTGATTTTGTCTCCCATCCCCTTTTGGAATAACAATATGATTAACAAATCTATTGACTGATAGACATAAGTGAAATGAAATTTTATGAGAACTTTTCTTTCCATTTTCAGCACTGATTCCACACAGATCTGCGCTTGTTCAAGTAATTGTAATTGCGTGTGTAGCCTTCAGCATTGCCCTGATATGTGGAATTACTATTTCCTATGTGATATAGTAAGTATATACTAAGTATCATTTACCATCCTCAAGTAAGACATAACAAACTAACTAGATTATTATTTAGTATCAACAATGGTAATAATGATGATTCTTATAATCACTAATTTTTTTTAGTCTTTCTAAATTTCCACACCAGCGTTTTTCAGAATATGGACCGTACTCATGTTGGGTCATAATATAAATTTAAAAAAATAAATAGAAAAAAATAAAAAATAAATAGGACAGAATACAACTTAGTAGGATAGAAAATATTAGAAAGCATTACATGTATTAATGTAAATGCTGATTTTTAACTTTTCAGACAGACAAATACACAGTTATGAGGCAAAATCTATTTCCTATTGTGGATCATGGTCAAAATGTTTGAAAGCCACTGTCTAAGATGCTTCCATCCTTCCAAAAGGTGATGTTCTAAAGTGAGCTTGATACCTTAACAGGAATCTAAGGCAAAGCAGAAAAATTGTGACTGCTCTCTTTTCAGTAGACATTTGTTATTATCTGGGGAAGATACTTCATCTTGTTTGCACAAATAAAGTTTGTGGTCAAGCTCTTTCAAATGATGTGATCATTTAGAGTTAGTATTAGACAAAATGCAGACTCTGAATTTATGCTATTCTGACCAGAATGATATACTGATTCCTTCTCCAAGATTCAGTGCCAGGATTCTGTTATATCCCATCAGAAACAGCTTGCGGAAGTAATACATTATTTGATCTATTGGAATTGAGCATGAACACAAGGAATATGTTGGCGTGTATGGGGTATTTTTTAAGATACTCATTTTAGGACCACCTTTGAGTATGTCCAATAAAGGCAAATAAAATTAAAGGTAAAATTGAAGACATTTTACAAATGAGAGGGTGTAACCAGCGTGTTTAGTTCTGATATATATAACATGGTGATCTTTCACTCTATTTATGTAGCTGCATTTTCAGTTTATTTTCATTAGTATAGACAATGATGTTAATATAGAGAGAGTTTTCTAATATAATTCACTAAAACATCCTCTGGGACTTGCAATGCCCAATTATGTTGCTGAGCTAATGTCAACTCTCAACAGCTTTTATATTTGTGTTACTCATGGGGCCACATCAAGCTATTTTAGAGCATGAGGCAAAAGGAAAAATATATCCCCCAAGGTACATGATTCAATGTAATTTCTAGTGCTTAATTTTTTCCAGGAATAGATTTTTTTAAGAGTTTTTAATTTATTTATTCATGAGAGACACAGGTAGAAGGAGAAGCAGGCTCCATGTAGGGAGCCCGACGTGGGACTCGATCCCATGTCTCCAGAATCACGCCCTGGGCTGAAGGTGGTGCTAAACCCCTGAGCCACCCAGGCTGCCCCAGGAATAGATTTTGAAAATACTATTGTTGGGCAACCCCGGTAGTGCAGCGGTTTAGTGCTGCCTGCAGCCCAGGGTGTGATCCTGGAGACCTGGGATTGAGTCCCAGGTTGGGCTCCCTGCACGGAGCCTGCTTATCCCTCTGCCTGTGTCTTTGTCTCTCTCTCTTTCTGTGTGTCTCTCATGAATAAATAAATAAAATTTTTAAAAAAAGAAAGAAAATACTATTGGTAAGTTCGCTTTCATTTAAACCAGGAAAGTAAAATAATAATAAATTCTGTTTCTGGTATAGATAAAATATTTAAACTTAAGGTGAATTTTGATATACTACTTTTCAAATTGGTAATACATTATCAACTTCTTTAATGTTTTGGAAAAAAATAACTACTTAAAAATACATAAAAAACATGGGGCACCTGGGTGGCACAGTCGGTTGGTTGGGTGTTGGTTTTGGCTGGGGTCATAATCTCAGGGTTGGGGGGTCAAGCCCCACCTGGAGCTCCACACTCAGCCAGAGTCAGCTTGGGACTCTTCTTCCCTTTCCCTCTGCCCCTCCAGAGCCCACCCCATCTCTGAAATAAATAAATAAATCTTAAAACAAATTGTATTTTTTAGATTTTATTTATTTATTCATGAGAGACACACAGAGAGAGTCAGAGACATAGGCAGAAGGAAAAGCAGGCTCCCTGTGGCAAGCCTAATGTGGAACTCAATCCCAGGACCCCAGAATCACAACCTGAGCCAAAGGCAGATGATCAACAACTGAGCCACCAAGCACCCCTTTAAACAAATTTTTAAAAGGATTCTGTTTATTTATTTGAGAGAGAGAGCAAGAGAGAGCAGGAGTAGGGAGGAGCAGGGGAGGGGCAGACCCAGAAGGAGAAATAGACTCCCCACTGAGTAGGGAGACTGACCCTGGCTCAACCCTAAGACCCTGGGATCATGACCTGAAATGAAGGCAGATGCTTAAGCAAGTGAACGACCCATCCAACCCTAAGTAAATAAATCTAAAAAATTACATAAGAGACCCCTGGGTGGCTCAGTGATTGACCATCTGCCTTTGGCTCAGGGCGGGATCCCCATCTGGGGATTGAGTCCCACATCAGGCTTCCTGCAAGGAGCCTGCTTTTCCCTCTGTCTATATCTCTGCCTCTCTCTCTTTCATGAATAAACAAAATCTTTAAAAAAATAAAAATTAAAAATACATAAAAACATATATAAGGGGCTCACCTTTTTCTTTTGACCCAGGTTCCCATATGGTTCATCATAGCACTATTGGATCCTATGTTTATTTGAAATTTTGATATTTGGTTTATCACAGATTTTTTTCATTCATTTCAATTTAAGGTATTGAGCTACAATATTTACCATCATTACTGAGTTGTTTTTTTTTTTTTTTGGCACATCTTGCAATTGTAATAAAGACATTGGGACAAGACCAGGATTTGGGTAATTACTCTTTTTTTAAAGATTTTATTTATTTATTTATTTATTTATTTATTTATTTATTTATTTTATTTATTTATTCATGAGAGAGACAGAGAGAGAAAGAGATGCAGAGATACAGGCAGAGGGAAAAGCAGGCTCCATGCAGGGAGCCTGACGTGGGACTCCATCCCAGGACTCCAGAATCACGCCCTGGGCCAAAGGCAGGCGCTAAACCACTGAGCCAGCCGGGCTGCCCTATTCTTTTTTTTTTTAAGATTTTATTTATTTATTCATTCATTAGAGACACAGAGAGAGAGAGGCAGAGAAAGAAGCAGGCTCCATGCAGGTAGCCCAATGTGGGAGATGCTTAACCGCTAAGCCACCCAGGCATCCCTTGGGTAATTATTCTTTTTTTTAATTTTTTTAAAATTTATTTATGATAGTCAGAGAGAGAGAGAGAGAGAGAGGCAGAGACATAAGCAGAGGGAGAAGCAGCCTCCATGCACCGGGAGCCCGATGTGGGATTCGATTCCGAGTCTCCAGGATCGCGCCCTGGGCCAAACGCAGGTGCTAAACCGCTGCACCACCCAGGGATCTCCGGGTAATTATTCTTAATGATGTTTAGGATCAGCCTAGTTCTTCCTAATTACATACACCAAACAGAATTAGGAAGGTATGTATGTTAGGAAAAAGGAAAGCATTCTATTACCCCTTTTCACATAGTTGCTTGAAAATCCACTTCCAGGGCTTAATCTGGGGTGGGGTGAGCAAGGCACCTACCTCAGGTACAAAATTTAAGAGGGTGCCAAAAAACTCAGTCATCAAGATGAATAGTATTTTATTTTATTTTAAAGATTTTATTTATTTATTTGATAGCACAACCAAGGGGAACAACAGAGGGGGAGGAAGAAGCTGGCTTCCCACGGAAGGGAAGCCCAATGTGGGGCATGATCCTAGGAACTGGAATCATGACCTAAGCTGAAGGTAGATGCCTAACCAACTGGGCCACCCAGGTGTCCCAAAATGAATAATATTTGAAGGTAATATTTTATAAAATCTAAATTTATTTCACAAAATATCCACAATGAACAAAATAACAACATTTTAAATACAGGATCAGTAACAGTGCCAGGTCAAGCTATTTCAGAGGGTGAGCAAAAGGAAAAATCAGTAATACCTAGATGGACTTTATTTAAAATGTTGATATTTTGTTCATCGTGGATTTCTTGGCATTCATTTTTTTAAAATTTTTATTTATTTATTTATGATAGTCACAGAGAGAGAGAGAGAGAGAGAGAGAGAGAGAGAGAGAGAGACAGGCAGAGGGAGAAGCAGGCTCCATGCACCGGGAGCCTGATGTGGGACTCGATCCCGGGTCTCCAGGATCGCGCCCTGGGCCAAAGGCAGGCGCCAAACCGCCGCGCCACCCAGGGATCCCGGCCACCCAGGGATCCCTCATTTTTCTTTTGTAAAATATTGCATTAAGATATTATTTAGCCTAGGGATCCCTGGGTGGCTTGGTGGTTTGGCACATGCATTTGGCCCAGGGTGCGATCCTGGAGTCCCAGGATCGAGTCCAGCATCGGGCTCCCGGCATGGAGCCTGCTTCTCCCTCTGCCTGTGTCTCTGCCCCTCCACCCCCCGCTCTGTGTGTGTGTGTTTATAATAAATAAATAAATAAATAAATAAATAAATAAATAAATAAATAAATAAATAAATCTTTTTTAAAAAGATATTATTTAGCCTAAAAAGAAGACATTATTATATTCTTATATTTTTTGTGCCCCCCATGAGTTCCTTATTCCCCTCATCTAATGCTGGCCCTGAGCCACATTTGGCATCCTTGCCCATCTTCTTCCTATCAGTGCACACCAGAGCCCAATCTTCTTCTGCCTCCCTCCCCTGACTACCACCAAGTACCAGTGACTTGTTTCCAGTTGAATATCACAGAATTAAGATGTAATGATTTACCGTGAAAATTGGGTTCTTAAATTCATCCACATTATTCTCCAGTCGGCTGGTCCAGGCTGAGGAAAGACAGCAACTGGTGTGGCTTTATAATAATGTCAGGATACCATTTCTGGGAGATGAGGACGAGGTCTCTGAGGATGAGAGCCAGGATGAGTCCACCTACCTACTTCCAGAGAATGAGAAAGAGCTGGAAAAGTTCATTCACTCAGGTAATTAACCCACCAGTTTATCATGTCAGATGCAGAGTCACATGAAAACTGAGCTGGACTTGATGGTTTGTTTTTCAAAGACAAAGTTAGGAGGGATTTAATGGAGTTTGAGGTAATAAAAGCAAATGTTTACAGTCAGACCTACAGAAATGAACTGTTTTCATCACATTACACAGAGAGCAAACAGCCACGGGTTGCTTGGTCCCTTTTGTGAGGTAATTCCAAGGACCAGAAGCAGAGTTCAGGGAACAAAACTTCCCCAGACTACACATTTCCCTTTAACACACTTTACAGTGTGGTGTTATTCCTGAGTCTAGAACACAGACAGGTGTCTCTCTCTGTCACAGTTGGCCTCCCTCTGATGTGGGAACAGGATCCAGGCCCAGAAAACAGACCCTTGTGTGAGAGATGCTCACCACGCCTGCAAGTTTTTGTGAGGAGAAGGCAGGATGTGTGTTCATATACACCTGATTTTATAGAAGTTCTGAGATTCTTGGATTCTCGATTTAAAAAATTCTACAGGGGATCCCTGGGTGGCGCAGCGGTTTGGCCCCTGCCTTTGGCCCAGGGCGCGATCCTGGAGACCCAGGATCGAATCCCACATCGGGCTCCTGGTGCATGGAGCCTGCTTCTCCCTCTGCCTGTGTCTCTGCCTCTCTCTCTCTCTCTCTCTCTCTCTCTCTCTCTCTCTTCTCTCTCTCTGTGACTATCATAAATAAAAAATAAAAATTTTAAAAAAATAAAAAATAAAAAATTCTACAGCAAAAATATGTAGAGTGCGGTGTCTGATTCAACCATGGAGGCATCCCTGGTATGGATCTCCTCTCTGACATCCCCAGACACAGATGGTCAGAGACAGGTTGGAGGCCAGGAACACAGTGATCAGCAGTGCTTACTGATGCAAGCCCCTAGTTTACCATTAGGAAATATTTTTTCAATGTCTTTTCTTTACATTGAAGTATAACTTTTCTGCATTTTAAAAAAACTTTTTATTTTCCAGTGAGTTAACATACAATGTAATATTAGTTTAAATTGTACAATATAGTGATTCAGCACTTCCATACAACACCTGATGCTCATCACAAGTGCACCCCTTCATCCCCATCAGCTGTTTCCTGGTCCTCCCACCCCCTCCCGTCTGATAATCAATAGTTTGTTCTCTATGGTTAAGAGTCTGTTTCTTGGATTGCCTCACTCTCTTTTCCCCACCTTTGCTTATTTATTTTGTTTCTTAAATTACACACAAGTGGGATGCTTGGGTGGCTCAGCGGTTGAGTGTCTGCCTTTGGCCCAGAGCATGATCCTGGTCCAGGGATCGAGTCCTGCATTGGGTTGCCTGTGAGGAGCCTGCTTCTCTCTCTGCGTATGTCTCTGCCTCTCTCTGTGTGTCTCTCATGAATAAATAAATAAATAAAATCTTTTTAAAAATTACACACAAGTAAAATCATGATATTTGCCTTTCTCTGACTGACTTACTTCACTTAGCGTAATACTCTAGCTCCATCCATGACATTGCAAATGGCAAGATTTCATTTCCTTTTATGGCTGAGTAATATTCTATTGTTTATATATACCACATCTTTATCCATTCGTCAGCTGACATTTTTTTTAACTGGTGTATTTATAAAACCTGTATATAAGAAGTGGGAAAATAATTTCATTTTTTTGAGGGAAAATAATTTTAAAATTCAATTTCCACCATCCTTTTCAGACAAATAACATTCATTATATCTTGCAAATTCTATTTATACCTTATTTTTCCAAGTTTTCCCCTCATTTCTTTTGTCTCTATTCCTAAGTATCTCAATAACATTATGTCTACATTTTAGTTATTAGATCCAAAAGAAGAAAGCATATGGAGAACAAGAGATTGAAGAATGAACAAATGTTCATACAGGACACAAAACTGAACAATTCTCTGCACAGTGTATTCTCAGAGAATCTATGAAAGCAAATGAAAGAAATGCAGAACGTGGTAGCCAGTATGGAGCCAACAGTCACAGGGACAACCCACAACTAGGGACCTGAGAATGACTTACTCCTGGAGAGCTCTGTTCAGAGCACTCTAAAGAAGAAAACTGGAAGTATATAACAGAAAATAAATCCATATGTACAAAAAATCTTGCTTTTTCACTCTCATAGTTCATTTTATAACTATAACTTAATTGGAAAGGAGAAAAATCCAACTTCATGAGTACGAAAGAGAAACTGCCAGGATTTTCTTCTCTTTTCTTTTTTAAGATTTTATTTATTTATTCATGAGAGACACACAGAGGCAGAGACCTAGGCAGAGGGAGAAGCAGGTTCCTGTGGGTAGCCCGATGCAGGACTCGATCCCAGAACCCTGGGATCACGACCTTAGCCAAAGGCAGATGCTCAACCACTGAGCCACCTAGGTGTCCCTATTAATGTTTTTAGGATATTCTTTTCTTGCTCCCTAACCAGAAGCACAAATAATTTATTTGGGCCATCTGGCAGACCAAACTAAGAAATCACTCTCATGATACAAAACTTTTCCAGGGATATTATCTATCAATTCCAGTAAATTGTTGCCATTTTACTCACATGGCAGAGAATATCAAAATAGTTATGGCAGTGGATTAAGTTACAATCATCCCTGTTTATTTTTTAAATATTTTATTTATTCATGAGAGACACACAGAGAGAGAGAGGCAGAGACACAGGGAGAGGGAGAAGCAGGCTCCATGCAGGGAGCCCGATGTGGGACTCAATATGGGACTCAATCCCAGGTCTCCAGGATCATGCCCTGGGTCAAAGGCAGGCACTAAACCGCTGAGCCACCCAGGCACTAATCCCTTCATCCCTGTTTTTAAGGAGCTGGTATCTAGTGAGGAAAAAGGGTCTTCAGGCAAGGAGCTGTAAAGCATGGCCAGTTGTAGTGGATGCTATAAACTGTGGAAATACAGGAGTCAAGACTGAATCCAAATGGGTCAGTGCTTTGGAAAATGGTCTGATGGTTCCTCATAACGTTAAACACAGAGTCACTATGTGACCCTAGCAATTCCACTCCTTGGGTTATGTCCAAGAGAACTGAAAAGACACCTACACACACACACACACACACACACACACACACACAAAGACACCTACACAGAAAAATCTGTACACAAATGTTCATAGCAGCACTACTCATAAGAGCAACACAGTGGAAACAATCCAAACGTCCATCAACTGACAAAAAGATAAATAAAATGAGGGGCTAGCCATACAACGCAATATTTTTCAGCCATAAGAAAGCATGAAATACCGATACATCTACAACATAGAAAAACCTTGAAAACATTATGCCAACTGAAATAAGTTAGACTCAAATTTTTAGTCACATATTTTCCAATTGCATTTATACAAGATGCCCTAAATAATCACATCCACAGAGGCAGAAAATAGCTAAGTGGTTCCAGGAACTGGGTGAGGGGAAAAAAGGGAAGGACTGCTGATGGTTGTAGGGTTTCTTTTTGGGGTAATGAAAATATTCAAAAATTAAATAATTGTGATGGTTGTACAAGTTGGTGAATATACTAAAATAACACAGGATTATATTCTTTTTAAAAGAGTAAATTTTGTGGGTATGTGAAATAGATCTCAAATGAACTGTTAAAAATTTTTTTTTTGTCTGAGGGTGAACTGAAGGCAGACTTGGGCTTCCTTACTCTTCCTTTCAGTTTCCATCTTTCCTAAATTAAGAAAATTATAATAACAACAAAAATCCCAAAGTCCAAAGAATCTTTCAGCCAGCAGTTTGCACCACCTGCCTGGGTGGTGCTCCAAGGGTAGAGTTCCACAGGGCATTGGAGGCCCAGGGGCAGCAGCCCGAGGAGCTACACCAACTCACAGCCCCTAGGCCTAGATGGGCCTTCAGTGTCCTTCACTGCAACCTCATATCCTTGCACAAGACGCACTCCTCGCTCCTCTGAGATAAAATCCTTTTTTTCCAAAGATTTTATTTATTTATTCATGAGAGACACACAGAGAAAGAGGCAGAGACACAGACAGAGGAAGAAGCAGGCTCCTTGCAGGGAGCCCAATGTGGGACTCGATCCCGGGACCCCAGGATCATGGCCTGAGCCAAAGGCAGATGCTCAACCGCTGAGCCACCCAGGTGCCCCTCTTTAATCAGTACTTGAAACTTACTTTTTCTGATTTAGATAACAATGAAATTGATATTTTGTGATTTTTATTTTTCTTGTTTTTGAAAAATTCTAATGGCTTGAGTTTCATTTTTACTTTAATATTCCCTCCCAGATTTTCATCTAGCTAGGCTTAATTTTAGGAAAGAAAAACAATTTACTAATATACTAATTTACTAATTTATATAATTTACTAATTATATAATTTATTTTAGTCTTCTTTACTTGGCTATAGTCTAGCATCAACTATATGTTGAGCAATGAGTTATTTTAGTCTTTTTTTAATGTTGTTATTGATATGATAGTCTAACTCTGGTGTATTTATTTGACATGATTAAACCCCGATGAACCCATTACCTTGCCTTCAGAAAATCCTGATAGTTCTAGTTGTTGGGTACTTTCTGTACTTGCCAGAACCATTCCCTTTCCCCTTGCTTCTTTTCTTACCATTTCCCCCATCATACAGCAGATTGTAAGAATAGCATTACTTATGATAAAAATGCTAAGAATTCAATTGAAATAAGTTTATTTTGCTAAAGTTTTTTGTTTTAATTAGTGCTTAAAAGTATGATGCCTTAAAAAAAAAAAGTACGATGCCTAGGTGGTTGAGTCAGTTAAGCATCTGCCTTTGGCTCAAGTCATGATCCCAGGGTCCTGGAATCAAGCCCCACATCAGGCTCCCTGCTCAGCGAGGAGCCTGCTTCTCCTTCTTCCACTCCCCCTTCTTGTGCTGTCAAATAAATAAATAAAATCTTTAAAAAAAAATCAGTGCCTTCTGAGGGGGGCACTTGACAGGATGAGAGCACTGGGGGTTATACTATATGTTGGCAAATCGAAATCCAATGAAAGAATGTACAAAAAAATCAGTGCCTAAATGTAATGCAATACAGTATTTAATAGGCAGCTTTTGTAAATTATTCTCCATAAAATGAAATTCACTTTCAGAACTTATTGTTAGCCATTGGCGCTTTGAAGAGTCGAATGTGTTTATTCTCCTTATCTCTCAAACGCAATAAATCATTTGCTTTTATTATCACTAATTTTAATAACATATTCTCTCCAGGTAAAAAAGTCTATCACTGGGCAGCCCGGGTGGTTCAGTGGTTTAGCGCCGCCTTCAGCCCAGGGTGTGGTCCCGGAGACCCAGGATCGAGTTCTGCGTTGGGCTTCCGGCATGGAGCCTGTTTCTCCCTCTGTGTCTCTGCCTCTCTCTCTCTCATGAATAAATAAATAAATAAATCTTTTAAAAAAGTTTATCACTTAATAGAAATTGCTTCCTTTTTGTGATGACTGATTTAATAAAAATTCAGTTGTGTGAAAATTAGTAATAGTAACAGGAAACTTCACTAAAATGTAGTGATGAAGCTTCAGCAGGTGTGAGGCTCTCACACCCTATCACTTGTTGGGCTGGTGAGACTGGGGACCTCAAAACAGCGACCCCAGGCCAGCAGCCTCGCAATAAGGCCGCCTTGCCGCCCTACCCGGCCTACCCTAACTTAGCACACAAAGACCTGTAACCCTTGCCCTAACTGGAATGAAGCCCTACCTCCATCTTCCTGCCAACACCCTTACCTCCCTACCCTAACTTAGCTTACAAAGACCTGTAACCCTTGCCCTAATTGGAATGCCACCCTGCCCCCATCTTCCCGCCGAAATATCTTTATAGAACCCCCTGCGGTTTGCCTGGGCACGACTTCCCTGACTCAAGCCCCTCCAAGCCGTCATGGAACCTCGCCCGGGAGCACTCCCCATTAAAGCACTCTTGAACCTACTGCCAGCTGGCTCTGCCGTTTTGTTTTGTTTTGTTTTTAATTTCTCCGCCGTTCATTTGGGAAAAAACTAACATTTGGTGCCGAAACCCGGGGGGAGATCAAGGCCCCACGTTGGTGGGGAGACTCTCTCCTCTCGCCACCAGGACCTTAATTGAACCCAGCGCCTGGAAACGCCGGGTAAGTTCCCCTGATTCCGTGCCTCCCTCCGAGTTGTCCTGCCTGAAGCCACGGCCGCGCCAGGGCACCTCTGCCGAGCCACCGGGTGGCTCTCCGCCGGCCCCTGGGGATCAGGAGACGTCCTCATCCTCACGGTGAGCTCTGTTTCTGTCCATGACCCTGAGAGCTGCAAACGGGGACGCCTGTTTTCAGTCTCTGGGTTACCAGGCAGGAATCATGGGAAGTGCCCAATCCAAATTCGACCCCAAAACCCCATTGGGCTGCCTAGTAGCTAACTTTAAAGTCTGGGGATATTCCCGTGACCTGAGGAGACAACACCTTATCCATTATTGTACTGTAGCCTGGTCTCAATACCAATTAGACAATCAGTCTCAATGGCCTCCAGAGAGTACTTTCGATTACCAAAGTCTTATGGCTCTTGATAATCTTTGCAGACGCCAAGGCAAGTGGCTCGAGGTTCCTTATATACAAGCGTTTTGGGATCTGCGCTCTCGTCCCTCCCTCTGCTCTCAATGTTCGACTACCCAAGTCCTGCTTGCCTGTACCGCAACTCCTAACATACCTCCTACCAATTCCAAGGACCTCTACTCTTACTCCCCTTCTCCCCTTTTCGAAACCGAAAACCTCACACATCCTCCCACCCGCTCGGGACCAGCGGCTCCTCTACACCCCCCTTACCCTGAACCTAATCCCGTCCCTCCTACTCCCTCCCCTCCGGCTCCCGCATCTCCTCCGACTTCCCTTCCGGTCGCTGCCCGGACTCGGTCTCAGCAAACACCGTTGGACCTTGTCTGTCCCTTGCAGGAGGTGGCAGGGGTCGAGGGAGTGGTCCGCGTTCACGATCCTTTCTC